CAACAGCCTTTAAACAGTGGGGAAAAATCAAATATGAGCGTCCGAATAAAAACCCATAAAAAGATGGTTCTCACTCTAAATAAGTTTCTGTTTTAAGGTAAAGTGGTGAAAAAGCAATTAAACACGTTGAGCTGCATGAAATGTCACAACACCACAGTAAAACCACACAACTGAGCATCAACTGAATGTGTTACAGCAATGACTCAACTAGACCAGACATAAGGTAGGTGTAGGTAGGTGTGTGTGTGTGTGTGTGTGTGTGTGTGTGTGTGTGTGTGTGTGTGTGTGTGTGTGTGTGTGTGTACACTTGCCACCGGAAATATAATAAAACAGTCTGACTCTCAGCAGGACACTTCAATGAACCTCATACCAAGAGTAACTCAACCCTCAAGCCAGCAGCTCAGTGGCACTGGGTGCGTTCAAGGGAGTGGGGCTGCACAGAGCGGTCCACGCCTTCAGCGGCTCGGGACATTCTTTTCAACAGTTTAATTCACTGTAAATGAGCTAACATCCAAACTGTGTATTATGATCAAATGTTTTATTCTGACTAATCTTTCCTAATCAATATATGGACAGTTTTCATCCTTCTAAAATAATGAATGCGGGCCTGTTTGTAAGTCTGTGAACGTGAAAATGTCCAAGCAGCTCCGTCTTAAAAAAGGTCCTTGAGGGAGACTCCTGGAAAAATGATTAATAATTAAAATGACCTACCATTAAACTCACTCTACTCTCGTGTTATCACCCCAGCTACAGTATCTACAGTTGTCCAACTAGGAAACACATTTGCTGGAGAAAGTATGTGGAAAATCCGCCCTCATGGGATTCCTCTGGGGTTTACTGGTTTTAGTGGCTCCCTGAAGGCATCCCAGTGGGTCGAAATGAGACAGTTTTGTTGTATTTTATCTGCACTAGGGTGAGCGCAACGAGAGGCTGTTTTGTTCATATTTAACATATCTCTGTTCCTGTTGTTATTTAAGCAACCATAATGTAAACACTGATGTAAAGTGCTGATGAAAGTCCAGTCCAAAGCCAACAAAAAAAGACAGGGAGTGAAAAGCTATATGAGCCTATGACAAGGTAGGTACTTAATAGTAATAAGTAAAATCTGAAAAAGAACTATTTCCTAATCTGGAAGAACATTTTTGTTTGGCAACGTTGCTACACAATATCCAGTCAATGTTTAATTTCTAAGAAAGGTCATGCCTAACAAACCGTGCCTCTACCTGCATTAGCCTGTGATTTATGAGGGACCACATTGTGCTAAATGAGCCACATTCTCATTTCATGCTTGTTTCACAGAACAAGGCTGTGAGAAGAGGCTCCTGCATGCGACTTCCTGTGGCCACAAAATGCTCCAAGACCGGAATTCACTTTCTTGTCACAAGTAGCCTCTCCTCTGACTTTTGCAATCTATGTAAGTGCTGCTGCAACTTTTTCATACTTCACTGATCAGAATAAGGAAGAGTTGACTAAGTGAGTTTTGAACTCCCTCAGAAGTCTCTCCATCTATTGTCCCATCTGTTCACACCACTGCAGAATGGGTATGAGACACGGCACAACAAGTTGTACCTTGTCTCTTACCGCTACAACTGTGGGAAATGTCAGGTACTTGTCATGTTGTTTCCAGTCCAAATTTACAGGTCTACACCGAGTTGAACTATGAGAGCAGGAATGTGTGTCATCCGTCTAAGAAAATGGCTTAACATAGAGAGAGAGAGAGGTGATATCTCCATCTTTCAAAATGCACAGTTGTAGATGTGAGGAGGATAAACTACAATAGTAAACTCACATAACATGGGGAGGTATGACTGAGACCTTTTTACACTGCATTAAAAGGTAAGAGTATACATGTTTTAACTAATGCATGAGTCTAAAGACTGTGTCCCACTGGCAATGAAATTACCTCTGCCATCTTAAAAGGGAGTTCTGCGTTGCAATGTGTCAGAGTTTAAGCCTCAGTTTCACCTGAACATTCTTCTGTCAGGGGATTATTCCGGAGCCTCGCTGCTCTTCATAACATGTCTAATCAGCCACAGTGCAGCAGAACTGGCCTAATTTGCACAGGCAGAAACCGTGACAACTTTTTGAGACAAATTACATGTAGACGTTACATCACAACCGCAACCATCCGCCTAACATAGCATCAAATTCTGCTCTCTGGATGTTTCACTTCCACTTTCAGGGCTTACGCAGAGACTGGGCATAAAGGAAATAACGTATCACTTCTGTTCTATGGCTGTGTAGATAATTGACGCAAACAACCAACCAACTTTAGTCAATATTAGCTATCTGCCGTCTGAGCTAATGGCAGGTTTATTAGTGGACTCATGACTTTTGGGAGATGCCAGGGCCCAGTGGTTGAATATAACAAAGTACATTGACTGAAATTAGCACAGTACTGGCTAATGTGCAATTCTGAGGTAGATATTTAAATTTTATGCTACTTCAGACTATATTTCAGAAGGAAATATCACACTTTAGTCAGTTAATCAATCAGCAGGAAATGAGATGGCAACTGTTTCAATAATCACATGATAGTTTCCATTATTTTTTTGTTGTTTGAAGCTTCTCGACCGTGAGAACTTGATGCTTTTCTGTGTCATATATAAAAGTAAACTCAACACATCTGGGTTTTGGGCTGCAGATAAGACACAATATGAATAATATCATAAAAATACCAATACTAATAATCCAATAACACAATAGCAGTATGTTTCTTATAATACTTTGCACTTTTACCCATGTAAGATTTTGAATTGAGGACTTTTACTTGTAATAGAATATTTTAACATTGTGTTACTGCTACTTTTACTCAAGTGAATAAAGTGAATAGTTGATCTGAATTAGTTCCAGGATCACACTTTGGAAACCTCAGGCAAACTCTTTTATCATGCATTGATGAAAATGAAAAATCATCAGAGACAAACCGGCTCTAACCACGTCCCAGCTGTCAGCGTGTGCATTTCCTTTTAATGCATCTTTAATGATGCATCACTGCCTGTAAGCGAGCAGTCTTGATCCAAGCTATACGGTTAGTTTAAAACTGTGCAGATAATCTAACACACTTTATAGCACGCGCGAGGCACAACACAGCTGATAACGTGGCTTTAGTCATATATGGGTCAAGCATGTAACATTCAATGCCACTGGCCAAATAAAGGAAAAATTTTGCCTTGAGAAACCTACCGTTGGTCTTAAAAGAGGAAGTTAACGGTGCATCGAAGATGCGATCAAAACAATTCAGATACTTCTCATTGTTTGAATTTTAGAGCAACTTCACGATAAGTTACTGGGTTTGATTTCGCCAGACACGTTTATGATTCATCATTCATCTTTTTGCCTCCGAGGAACAAAATGTAAAACTCAAAAAGAGCCTCGGTGAATGGCAACCGGTGGACTATAAAGGCGGCAAGTTGAAAAGGCAGAAAGAGCGTAAATAAAGTGGTAATTTTCTCTCTTTTACCTTGATGCTCGTAGAGAAACAGGGGAGTCGACGAGCTGGATACCACGCTAGAAGCCAGTGGTACGGGCTGAAAGGAGAAGAAAAGCGATTTGCGGTCGCTGTTTCCGGGTTAGTTATCGAGCGTCATTGTGGCCGTCAAACGGGAGGGGAGTTCGTTTTGTGTATCCCTTGAGCGCGGAGGGAGGGAACGAATACACCTTCTTTTCTTAACTGAAGCTAGACCCGCCCGGTCAATGGAGCCCCGCCGGTGTGTTTCAACGGTGGCTTGAACCGGATTACTACTGACCTAGCCTATTAATATGTCTCACCGCTGCTTTAATTAGGACTCGTGACCGTCAGAAACCGTTTAGACACACCGTCTCCAGTTGTCCCAAAGTTTAGTCTCTCTACCGAGGTGTCCTTGAGCAAGAAGCTAATACAGAGCGTTGACAAGCTCCAGGGGGCGCTGTTGTTTTATTTGACCCTCTACTATGACCTCAGCATCCTTATGTCATTCTGAAAATATGCAAAACTATGTGTTATTAATGAACACTTGTACACGACTGTTGACCTTATGTGTTTGTAATTTCTGGTGCGGTAAGAAGGTAAAAGGAGACATTTATCAGAGAGCACTGAACACTTCTATAAAAGCAAATCTTTGATATCAGAAAAGGCATTAACATGGTTTTTTACAGCCTGTATGCAAGTTAGCATGACATTAGCTGATGATCATGAATTGTCAAAGGGCAGTTAGAAGAAAGAAAATGTCACTTCTGATGTTCACGGTTTTGTGAAATAAACTTCAATGCACAGATACAGACAGGAAAAGTTAACCCACCTTGTAAAGGTCTTTATACTCAATCGCTCCTGCAACTAGGACACACAACACATCTTATACTGAAAACAGTAACTACACCACAAGCTTATCAGTTTGAAGTTTTGAACTGCTATTCAGCTCCTGACTTTCCTATTAAACACAGATAAACTTCCACAATCAGCAGTATTTTTATATGAAAACATGTGTCAGCTGTTTTTCTTTCAGTCTTTGTGGTTAATCATAGTTTGTTTGATATATAGGCAGAGGCCTCTTCAAAGAGTGCAAACCTCCAGAAGACACACCTGGCTGTAATTTGAGATGATTAGGTGATCCATAGTGGTAGACTTTGAAGGAGAAACTGTAAGTGCGTGTAGCTGCTCACTGATGAAAGCTGAAGCTGAAATATTTCTTACTACTCACTGTTGTTCACAATCAGAAGCAGCATTAATGAAGAATTCCCAAAGCTTTTCAGCATTTTATTCTCCTTCTTTGCAGACTTCTTAGCAGAGTCCATTTTTCAGCAGAGTTGGACTGACACCAATTAAGCTTAAATCAGCAGCACACCTGTCTTCAATCATCTGTGCAGCGAGGCCCCTGGGAACCTATAAAGTTAGTGCGAAGAGGCCGTTCAGATCCATTTGATAGAAGAAAAAGGAAAAGTCAAGTGTTGTTTCATCTCAGAAGAAGCCAACAGTTAACGTGTTTGCTCAGCAAAAACAAAAAAGAAATCTTCCTTCAAACATGGTAAAAGAGAAGACTCATGTTAATGTAGTGATTATTGGCCATGTTGACAGTGGCAAGTCAACAACTACCGGACACCTCGTCTATAAATGTGGTGGCATCGACCAGAGAAGACTAGAGAAGTTTGAGAAAGCTGCGGCACAGGTGAGAATAACAACTCTGCAATAAACTTGATTATCAAAATGTTAAAACAGTTTAAATATACATTTTTGGTTTGTTTGTTTTGTTTTACAGATGGGAAAGAGTTCCTTCAAATTTGCCTGGGTGTTGGACAAGCTGAAAGCTGAGAGGGAGCGTGGAATCACCATTGATATTTCACTGCTAAAATTTAACACACAGAAGTACACCATGACTATAATCGATGCTCCAGGCCATCGTGACTTCATCAAAAACATGATAACGGGGACGTCACAGGTAAAAAGCACAAGTTTACAATTTTCTGTATGCATAAACTTTTTTTTTTTTGACTGTACCAAATGTGATTTTTAGGCTGATGTTGCCCTCCTGGTGGTCTCTGCAGCCAAAGGAGAGTATGAGTCTGGTGTATCAAGAAGTGGTCAGACCAGAGAGCACGCCTTGCTGGCCTACACTCTGGGGGTCAAGCAAATCATAGTCTGTGTGAACAAAATGGATCTGACGGAGCCGCCTTACAGCCAGAAACGTTTTGACGAAGTGGTGCGAGGTGTGAGCGGCTTCCTCAAGAAGATCGGCTACGACCCCAACACCGTGCCTTTTGTCCCAATTTCTGGTTGGACCGGGGAGAACATGATCACTGCAACTCAGAAGGTAAAAACACTTTTTTTATTAGGCTTAAAATCACCCAGAATTGACATGAAATACATTAAAGTAATGTGTGTACAGATGCCCTGGTTCCAAGGCTGGAAAGTCAGACGAAGGGATGGGAATGCAAGTGGAAGAACTCTACTTGAAGTTCTGGACTCCATACACCCGCCTGTGCGCACCATCAACAAGCCTCTACGATTACCTCTGCAGGATGTCTACAAAATAGGCGGTTAGGAACTGTTCTAAAGTTGATTTAATGAATGCTTTGTCTTAATTCAAGTCCACCCTTCCTTGATTTCCAGCCAACTCAGTTGATTAGCTCTAATCAATCAAATGTTTGCTGTTGACTAGAAAATCTAACAGCTTTGTTCCCGCTTCCAGGAGTTGGCACTGTACCAGTGGGCAAGATTGAAACTGGCGTCCTCAAACCTGGTATGACCCTGATGTTCTCCCCCGCCAAGCTCACTGCCGAGGTCAAGTCGATCGAGATGCACCACCAGGGGCTGCAGACGGCTCTACCAGGACACAACGTTGGCTTCAACATCAAGAACGTGGCCGTCAAGAACCTGCGGCGCGGCGATGTGGCTGGCAACGCCCAACAGGATCCGCCATCAGATGTCAGCAGCTTTGAAGCTCAGGTTAGTTCAATGCAGCTAGGAATATTTTTGGCTGTAAAATATGTGCTTGTCCCCTGAACTGATCTTTCCTGTCTTTTTAGGTGATCATCCTGAACCATCCAGGGAAGGTCAAAGCCGGCTACTCTCCTGTCCTGGACTGCCACACCGCCCACGTGACCTGTCGCTTCACCGAGCTGAAGGAGAAGCTCGACCGTCGCACTGGCAAGAAACTGGAGGACAAGCCACAGCTGCTGGTGTCTGGAGATGCTGCCACAGTCAAACTGGTTCCCATCAAGCCCATGTGTGTGGAGAGCTTCTTCACATACCCTCCCTTAGGTACGAAGTGTCAATCCACTGAGGTTTAAATGCAAAGGAAATCTCCCCCCGTGTCGACCTGTGCAGTGTTTTTGCACTGATCTTTTGTTGTGCTCCACAGGTCGCTTTGCAGCCAGAGACCTGAAGCAGACGGTTGCTGTGGGCGTCATCAAGTCGGTGGAGAAGGCCCAAGGGTCGAAACTTCCACACAAAGTCCAAGTGTGTAAATAAGTTTGTATTTGTTTACCAGTATTTTGGTAGTACTGCTTTATGTGAACAGTTTTATTTGGTAAGACAGTATTTGTGTGTTTTGACACAAGGTATTTATTTTGTGTTTGAGGTGTATAGTATTCCTGTGTTAATATTGAATCCAAAAAGAGTTGGATGGTGTGTTTAGGTTGAAATGTTAAATCAGAATTGATGAGATAACGAAATAAAGAATAATTTGAAGAAGAACTTTTGCTTTGCATGTTCTTAAACTGAGGTTAATGTAGAATCAAGTTAGAAATACTTTCTAAATGTTTTTGAAAGTTGGTTGAACCACTGTTGAATAACTTGGACATAAAGTAACGTTCTCTATAATCAATATTTTGGGTTAAACATCTATGGCAAATATCAGAAGTGAGAAGTATTCAAAACGTAGTTTTGTCCATTATACTGTATGTTAGTAGTTTAGTCCAAGGATTGTTGTATTAACTGCTTTTGTGTAAAGAGTTTTTCTTTGCATTTTGTTCTTTTAAAATAACTAGTAATAACTGAAATGTAGTGGAGTAGAAGTAGCATAAAATTAAAAAAGCGTACCTTTTACAAATTGTAACACAGTACTGACTAGTTAGAATCCACTACTGCTCATATTTACAGAATGTAAATTTCCCAAATTGTCTATTTCTTTATCTTGAGTCCAACAGTAACTTCAATAAGCTGCTTAGAAAAAAAAAACTTTTTCTCTAATGCTAGAGTTTTTGAAATTCCAAGGGAGGCACAAACGGATCTTGAAATCATGTGGTGCAATGGCAGCTAAGTAAAAGAGCAGGCTGAGAGTTGAAGTACAGCACTTTTAATGATACAATGGGTTGATGGGTTTGTTCCTTAACATGGGAAGAACTGCAAGTCAGTGAGGACCGGGTGAAAATACATCGGCCGTCCAGCCTTTTACAAAGTCCACCCTTCATCTAAAAAGACATCTCTAGTTCACAGGCAAACCTGGAAATGTACTGAATCCAGTAACATGGAATGATATTACATGACTCAAACTAAAAAACAAACAAAAAAAAAATTCAAGCTCATGAGGTTTTACAAGACACTGAATTGTGAACACAGGTTGTTGTGAAACTTCTAGCCTGTCAGAAAATCAAGTTATTGCTAAGATGTCCTCTTGAGTTTCCCATACTTGTCATTTAATAGTGGCTTCAACGACAGGATACCATTTGTGTAGTCCTGCTTAATTAATAGTGGCTCTTCAAACCCTGAGGTGAGCGTCTTTGAACGCAGCACTCCACTCAATTCCAGTCATTGTTACACCATGCACAGAGAAGGTCAAAGGACTGTGGAGATGGCGTCGAGTTCACACACAGAGCATACACACAGTGAACAGTGTAACAAGGAGTAAATTAGTGACCTACAGTGAACCACAGGCTTTGATATTCCACCACACAGTAGCAGCAGGTTTCTATACTGTAAAACAACCATAATACGTGTACACACAAAAGCAAGCAAGAACAAGGAGTACATTTAATGAAAATCTTTTCATCTCGGGAAGATCAGTGGGAGACTCCTTCCTCTTCAGTCAATTATGGTGGTAAACAGGGATGCAAGACACAAATAGTGACATGACCTATTTCACATTCCTTTTCTTATTTGTCCTTTTTCCAGAAATATAAGCTGATAATTACTTGAGGGCCAGTAAAATTAATACAGATAAAATTCAAACTCTACCACCCTGATGCTTAATCTGACAGGTAGAGAGCAATGGTACATGTTTTGTACAATAAAACATGTATATACACTCACACACAAATATATATATTTACATACATATATACACAGTAACAGCATAAACATAGACTTTTAGGTAAGTGCTAGGGTTCTGAGAGCGGCTTTGTCACAGCCGTGCTATAGGGTTAAGATAATACTGGTAGAGGAAGAATACACACATTCTTTGTACAGCATGGATGAGGCATCCATGGCTAGATGATCCTTCTTGGGTTTCTTCATTTTTTTTTTTTTCTTTAGGACACTTGTCGTGTGACAAGGGGTGTTATGATAGCTATTTACAGGAGCTCCCGGTTTCGGGAGAGGCGTAGTGCAAGTCTTTCTGGCTGTCAGTCACTCAGGATGTGCACAAAAGACATGGGGAACACCCCTTTTCTTTCCGGATCTCCTTCAATGTGCCCGATCTGGAAGTAAAAAGGGTAAAGAGAGCATGTGAGGAAAAGAGTATAATGTGGCATTGAGTGGTTTTTGGGGAAGTGCTCGAGGAGCAGTACACAGTGGAAGTAGTGAAGCTGGACTCACCCACCACTCCTGGTCCTCCTCTCCTGTAACTATGATCACCTCTCCTTCAACAAAAGTCAGTTCATCATCGTTGTCAGCCTGGCAGTCATAGATCGTCTTCACACGGCGGGCTTTGCTCTTCCCCTGGATAAACAGACGACAAAACCGTTAGAATTGCAAACAAAGACGACTTTTGTTTTGGTTTAAATTACATTTAATTTGTAAACCCACTGTAACCAGAGATATTCATTTCACTGGGCAACAAAACAAGCATCAAAATCCTTTTAAAAAAAAAAAACTGTGTGAGCTGCAGGTCCAGAAATTAACAAAAGGTCAGGACAAGAAATCCCCTTCAAAGCTCAGGAAATACCTGGAAAATCTAAATTAAGGCGCAGATTCCACGTTCATAGAATACCCCTTTGGGCCACAAGGTGATTTCCGAGAGTCTCTGACCAGGTAACGGTTTCTGGTGTACTGTATCTTGTGTGTGATTTAAAAACGACTGACTACGCAGCCTGAATGGATAGTAACATTTGGCACCACACTGCTAGCAGCAGGAGAAAACACCACCAGTACATCATTAGCACTAAAAACATCTAACAGCTTTTTTTAAACTAGTAAAAAAAAAAAAACATAGCAGAGGAATGAAATATGGAGCAGCTGAGGACCGGAGTCTTCCACAAAGGGCGACTGCCTGAGTCCAACAAAAAGGTTCACACAAACCTCGGTGCCATGAACAGAATATTAAACAGCTGATAGTGGATGTGGATGTATTACATTTATAGTTTTATAAAGTTGCCCCTCGGGTTGATCTGTGTGATCCACTGAATGATGCGTTTCTTCCCTGTTGGACCTATTTTCGGCAATGTCCACGCACTCTGATCTCACTAGTGAGGTGAGCACAATGTTATCGTAACTGATAGAACCGATGGCGATGAAATAAGTTCTCAAATAAATAAAACTCAAGCAATAGAGGCAAGAGTGTTCGTACCGTGTTGATCTTCCTCGGCAGCGGCACAGGCGTCTCTGCAGTTCCCGCTGGAGTCCCGTTGGTGTCCTCGGCAGGCTGGTGGGAGGGGGTCGCTATATTTGCCTGCTGATTAGGTGATGGTGAATCTTGAGGCTGCGGCTGAGGCTGAGGTTGAGTTTGAGGTGGAGGTGGAGGTTGCGTTTGAGGCCTCGTCGTCTCTCCAGGAGGCGGCCTGGGAGCGGACTCGGCCGTTCCAGGTTTGGGGGGGATGTCTGCGAGATGAGGCTTGGGAGGGAGGTCTTTGAGCTGGGGTTTGGGCGGGAGGTCTCCCAGCTGAGGTTTAGGAGGGAGGTCAGAGAGCTGCGGCTTCGGAGGAAGTTCTCCGGGTTTAGGGGGAAGTTCAGACGGCTGTGGTTTGGGGGGCAGGTCTCCCAGCTGAGGCCTGTCCGCCAGAGGAGCCTTCTGCGGGGTGTCACTTGCTGGCGGGGACTTCTGGAAGACCTCTGGAGGAAGGCTGGGCTTATCCATAGACGGGTGGTGTATGGTGTCAATCTTCCGCAATGCCACTGGAGAGAACAGCATACAGTCACACTCAACCACTCCTTCATTTGAACAGCCTACACAGAAATGAAAACTGGACAGAAGCCGTACCTTTTTGAGGTAGTTTGGGAAGAACCCTTGGACCAAGTGTAGACTTTGTGTTGCTTGACGTAGTGCTGGGAAGAGATTTTCAGATGACGTAAAAACGAAAACAAAATGTAAGAAGTTGCTTGCACCTCATCAGCTGGAATACATTTTATTACAGCGAGTGATTCAATAAATTTCAGACCGATTAAGCTTCGAATTTCACCGTGGTCTGTGTTTTTGGTACCTTTGCTGTTGAGGAATGCCTTCAAACTTGTTAGAAACAGGAGACATCTTGCTGACCGGAGGTGGGGTGGAGTCACTTCCTAAAATACCAACATTAATGACGACAAACAGATTACTCAACACCATAAGAGAGCGCTAACCAAGGGATTAAATTGATATAAATGTGGGAATAAATTAACATGCTGTGATGGTTAAAAAAAAAAAAAAAATCAATGAGGGAGGCGTCATCTGGCTGAGCTTTCCATGAGCCCGTGGTATTTGGAGACTGAGGTTGTGCAGTACAAAGTGTCATCCTTTAACTAGTGGTTTGGTGTTACATCATGTGTGACACAAACACCACAGAGGACAAACAATAACAAGTGGGATAACAGTAAAAAAATATCCCCATTGTACACATATGGGATAAAGGTACAATGACTGAGGTGCGTTTGATTTCATCACCTGATGCTTCAGCTTTTGAGATCTCGCTATTTTCCCAACTAACCCTGAGTGAGACCAACTCATGACTGTCTCTACGAACAGTTTAAAGGTATGTTGAATGGTGGGATTCGCTTAATTTGTGGGTGTTAACTGCATTATATGTCTCTTTAAACTTTTGTAATTTTAATGTAGTGATTAAAAAAAAGAAAAAAATATATATAACTTATATCTAACTTTAATATTTCTGAAATTGTCACTGATCTGCTGTGGCAGAAATGTAAATAGCAATGTAGTAAAAGTTAACACAATGAAAAATGAAACTTAATAAATAAATTAAAATATGTAGTTCTTTGGGAGGGGCTGTTTTTTTTAGGCTCAGATCACCATTGAACAACCCTTTAAACGGCAAGAAGGCACTCATGATCTGTGCAGTTCAGGGTAAAAATTACCCTCCCCCTAAACCATTAAGAATCTAAACATCTCTAAACATTTGAGCATTAAAATTCATTAAATGTTTATTCTTTGACAAAATAATCTTAAAAGATAAGGCTGTTGATTTTCTACACTTAGCTACTGTCAACAAACCCAGAGACCAAAGACCAAAACCAACAATAAATCCATTATATGCTATATTTCTTATTCCTGTGTCATCCATTAAAAACACATCGGCGAGCCAGATCGTTGCACCGGATGACACGGTCCTTCATTACCATGAACATCAGCGCTGTAGTTTACATAAATGCTACCTCATAAATACTCATGCCCATTGTGCATTAATCAGTCCCCAGCAAATGCACTATTTATTCCTATTTGTGTAATGTTAAAAACATGTTTAAGGAAAGTAGAATGACTTCTTTAAAGAAACTATCTATTTGTGAGTTGTTTTAAAAGATCTGTGTCTTCAGTAGACACCAATAGACCTTGAGAGGAGGACTAACATATTGCTTGTTTTGGTCTTTTTGTGGGATTCGTTGACTGTGTGAAAACATAGAACAACACAAGCCTTTTCATTTAACTCAAGGTCCTCTGACGAGCTTTGTGTGGAGCTCTCAATAGCATCTGAAAGTCTACACCAGTGAATGTAGTTGGTTCAGCTGTAATGGAGTTAGTTAAGTTGTCATCACATGATAACAGGTTGTACACCGGTTGATAAATGGTTGAAAGCTCTGGGGAAAAAAATAGCAAGTGGACCTTGAGTTAAGATTATTTTATCAATCTCTCCAAACATGTTTTTCTTTTCAGTGCAGAACTATTTAAAATCCTCCTGCATCTCTGAAGAACCACGATATTCTCGCTTCAGGCTGGAACCAGCCCTACTGTTACGAGTGCTTGCGTCTCACCCCCAGTCAAGCCCCCTTTACTGTGTGGACTGTGAGAGAGCGGGCTGGGTGGGTCAGACAGGGTGCGTTTGTGTCCAGGAGGTGGGGGCGGAGGCCTCTTCTTGGACAGGGTGGAGCTGCCTCCTGGTGTGAGTGTAGAGGGAGGGCCAGATGGGGGAGGAGCTGGAGGAGCGATACACAAAACACATGAGGTGATGAGGTCCCCACAAATCAGCCTGTTTAACCCCAAAAACCCAGAGAAGGTAAAGGAGAAGAGACGATAATGAAACGTGGACAGGAGAGGAGGAGCTGAAAACTTGGAAGAGGTTGTGTTCACTGTCAGGAACGTGTTTGGGACAAAACGAGGAGACACATTAATACAAGAAAAACAAAATACTGTCTGAACAAATACAACAAATATAACATAAATGTCTGGATGGCAACGCAAATATAATTAAAGGGATGCTATGATTTGGGGTGTGGGCATGTGTTTTGGTGTGTCTATCAGGTTGGTGTGTTTATGAATATGTCTTTCTGACTCTATTGGGACACCAAAGCACTCACTGGTCACTATTATAGAGAAGAGTAGAGTGAGAGCAGCTAATAGAGAGCTCAGCCAGAGAGGAATCAGCTGTGTTAAGAGTTTACAGCTCAAGGATGGTGGGACATGATTGTAGAAAGATGAAGAAAAAAAATCATGTAGGCAAGAAATAATTAACTGGAGAAACAGCTTGCCTACATGGTCCCATTGTTCACTTAAACAAAAACCACCACCACCACCCTTTAAATATGAGCTGTAAAGGAAGAAACAACTGAGCGATAACTGTATATGGGGCACACAGCCGAGTAAGGGGGAGAACGTAAAAACAGGATATTCACTGATGTATGGTCGAGTGCCAGCCAGTGTGGCGTAGTGCGAATGAGAGCCAAGGAATGCCAAGTGTGGAGCTGAAAGAATAGAGAAACAAAAAAGAGAAAGAAAAGAGAGCGAGATGAGGAGTGTGGGAGAGAATCTACAGTATGTCAGTCTTAAAAAGAGCTGCTCCCACACACTATAAAATAACAAGATGAAATCTTATCAGTGGCAAGCAAAGCAAAAAGAGGAGAAACGGCGCGAAGCTGGCCCCGGGGCGAGCTCTTCAGCACCTACTGAGAGAGAGAGAGAGAGAGAGAGAGAGAGAGAGAGAAGAGAGAGAGAGAGAGAGAGAGAGAGAGAGAGCGCTGCACTGCTAATCAGGAGCATCTGAAGAGTTAGCATGTTATTCTACATGTATGTATGTCATTTAGCCTCTTATTCTGGCTTTTAATCTTATTTTTGCATAAATCAAACTGAAACACTCCACTTGTTTCCAGTGCTATTTTAATCAATCAAGATACTTGAAACCTTTCAAAATTATTAATAGCCCCCTTTCAAGCCCAAGGAACAAAGTTGCTCCAGGAACTAAACACAGAGACTTTTGGGGGACCAGGAACTGAATTCTTAAAAGGTTCCTGAAAAAGTTCCTGCAGTGGAAAAGGGAAAAGTGTCAGGTCTATGAAGCTTTGGATTTCCCCACAGACCACAGGGGAATGGACGGGGTAGTATCAGTAGAGTTTGTAGGGGTGGTGTCTTTTTTTTACCTTTACCAAAGCTAAAAACAGTCTGTGATTAGGTAAGCTGCAAATGTTAGCATGTTGGTTAACTAGCTTACTACCTACAGTGGTAGCCTAGTGTTACTTCTATAGCCAAGGAGCATTTCATTAGGTAACTACATGAGTTTGTGGACTTACAGGTTACACTAGAAAAAGGTTAGCATCTCTGCTCTGGTCTTCATTTGGTTTGGGGAAGTTTATACTCCAGCAACTGCAGTTTGTTTGTCCAGTTTTTCGACAATGGGCCTCCAGAGAGGGGTATGTAAGAGCTTTGGATATTAAAAACAGCATTTTGGTTTTAAAGGAAATCTGGTAGAAACATTAAAAGTCATTTGGAGAATGAGTCAGCGGTAATTTGCTAGCTAGCAGCAGCTAAAACTAAAATTTGCCGACGATCTCATCTGCTAGAAATGAGAAACTAATTTTGTTTACTTATGTGTGAAATTGAAAACCCATTGTTTGGTAAATCTGCCACTGTTACTGGAAACAGCATGTGCACCACGTTAGAAGGGGAAAACTTACATTAGCAGTAACTCATGGGAGCTTTAACGAAGGGTCAAATGAAACATGTTCATTTGCATTGGAAACAGGTGAGATTTCACTCCTCTTGTTTTAAGAAAAATAAGATTTATACGCAGAATAATGGATTAAATGACTTGTTAGGATGGATGTTGTGCATTGTAAGCTCTTGCAATGTTTTAAACCACTGACCAAAGCGGAGACTGTCAGTGTTTTAATTCCCTCCACACAGGGAGGAGTGTTATTTTTAATTCTAATACTGCGGCGACAGCACGCCCACGGTATACTCTGTGTGTGTATATTGTGTCGAGGCTAATCATGAGGTGTGTATCCAGCTTCCCTTTCGCACGCCTGACTAACCATTGCCTCCCTGCCCTCTCCTGCAGCCATGTTTTCCTGAAGGTTTACTGTGTAAGCAATCTTAATGACACCTGCTTCCCACCCTCTGATCTGTGTGTTGACAAATTGCATACCACTGCAGGGTGTGTGTGTGTGTGTGTGTGTGTGTGTGTGTGTGTGTGTGTGTGTGTGTGTGTGTGTGTGTGTGTGTGTGTGTGAGTTGACTGACTGACAGCGCAAAGAAGAAACTTTCGTGAAAAGTGATTACGAAGCATTCCTCTGTAGCTAATCCTGCCCTGGATATAATCAAACATTAACAGACATAATAAAGTCAATTTCACAAGCTATCTTCTCTCTACAGTAATCACACACAGTAAAGCATACAGACAACCTTTAGACCATTTGCATTACAGGCTGACATTTGCAAAAGAGATAGCAGAACACGATCTCCTGAATTTACTGACTGTCATGTTTATAAGCGAGAGACCGATAAAACTGAGTGTCGTCTGAAAATGGATGCAGGTTTGAGGGGTTCTTGGAGCAGGCAGTTCTGACCTTTGCCCTGGTTCCTGGGTGGCAGCGGCGGCCCGTCGGCCACAGGGGAGGAGGTGAGGTCGGTGGATGCGCTGTACATCTGGTTGGTGAAGGCGCTGTAGGACAAACGCTGCTGCTTGTCCCTTTGGCTGATGAAGCCCGGCAGGGAGAGCTTATCGTGGGGGGAGAGGCTGGAGGAGTGGCAGAAGCTCTGAGGCCTCGGGGAGCGGTCCTTCTTGATGGGACTAGGCTGGAGAGGGACACGAAACAGATGAGACAGAGCTGACATCAGCCTACGAAGATACACTTGCTCTTTAATTTGCTTGTTAATGTTTAGCTGTTTGCATATAACCGCGGTTTCAACAGCATTTCAACGGGCATTTCAATATGTAGTTAGAATCTATTTCTACTTAGATATGGTCATTAAAATGTAATTTAGTTTGTAAAACTCTTCACTTTTCAAATGATTTGAGCTCATTTTTTAACTACATCACTAAATGAATGCCAGTTTTCTGGCTGCATTGCACTATGATGTTTTGAAGTATCCGAAATTGGTATATTCGCTCTTACTGTGGATTTCTGCTTCTGCATAAATGTAATTCAGTCAGTGCAAAGCTGTGAATTGAGAGAGAGGCCCTTGATCTTTGACTCTGCAGAACTGACACTGTAACGTGAGCTGCTGATGCTTTAAAGTGGCGAAAATCCATTTGCAGCTGAATCAATTGAACCCCGACCTTGGCAACCTTGGGAAATACATCCTTACACTGTGTGTTGTGTGCTGTTCAAACAAGAATTTTGAATAACCTGGACGTCTTTTGACTATTTTCCATTATTTCCCTTCTACCTGCTCCATCTAATTCTTTACGCAAAATTATGAATCTAGAGAGAAGCCTTCGTTCTTTCACTGGATAATACATCAAATCCTGACTTGTTGATTCTGATTCTCTATTCCACGTTGCATTGGAGGATTATCCATAAAAATAAAGGATGTACCACGAAAACACTAAAGGGAGCTTAACAATATACAGAATTTTCGTTCATCATTAGTTTTATTCAATAGCATGGTGTGTTGAAATCCAGACTGAATTCAGGTTCAAACAAGTGAATTTGAGGATCTGTTCAAACCTTATCATCCAGGTCATCATCACTCTCATCCATCTCCTCCAGTCTGAGGCTCCACTCATACTCCACATGGATGTGAGGGTTGAATTTCCCCTCTGCAGCCTGGACAAGCTGACACAAAGAGACACACAAACATCCATCAGTTAAAATCTAAAGATGGTCAGTTTACAAATATCTAAGACAAAGAAAAGCAGAGAATATTTAATTTGAGGAGCTGGAACCAACATATGTTGGACACTTTCATTATTTTTACTAACAATTAATCAACAAAACACTATAAACAAGTCACAGGAAGTAAAGCAAAAATAAAATAACAGAATAATCCTACAAAACCATCAGTCAATACTCTTCTCTAGAGATGAGCAATTACCCAATATACAGAGGTACACTACAAAATAAATTTGCCAGAGATTCTGCGCTGCATTTGAAGCTGCTTTTTTTTTGTCTGCACGCTCATATTAGCGTTAATAACAAACATACATCAACAATTATTTCCACTCTGCTGTCTCTGTTGCCTGAGGCTGAAGACAGACCTTTGACTGCCATCTAGTGTTCTGAATAATCTGCCCAAGAACTGGTCAACACGTGTCCACTCAACCATAGCCTTTTGTTAAATGTGTCTGATTTGATCTGTTTTGTTTTTTCTGTATATATAATTGGAAGTCTTTATAGACCATTAAAATCTACTGTGATGTCCAGAAGCTGCAGCTGGGCGGTCCTGTACTTACTGCCTCCTCACACTGAGTGTTCCTCAGTCGCCTGGCAACATCCAGCGCCGTCTCTCCGTTCTGATTGGCTAAAGGGGAGCGGAGGGATAATCAGCGGTTAGGGTCTGATACGTGCACACAGGCGTCGTTAACGAGAGGCTGAACCTCGACATGTGACTCACCGATGTCAGTGGCCGGCTTGCCCCTCAGGAGTAACTTGAGGCACTCGGGCTTCTCGTACATGCAGCAGTAATGCAGGGCGGTGTTCCCCCATTCCGTCTGCTTATCCAGGTTACCGCTGAGAGAACACACACACACACACACACAAACACACACACACACACACACACACACACACACACACACACAAACAAACAAACAAACACACACACACACACACACAACTAGTCAGGACACAGGTCACAAGGGTGTTTTCCACAGTCCTGTGGCTTCAGGTTAATGTGTTATTACCCAGTATTCTGTGTTTTAGCATGAGAGAAAATGGATTGGAAACAACATATATACAACAAAATAAACAAAATTGGGATCTGGGTGATGAGACTAAAACAAACAAATAATAATAGAAATAATAATAATAATAATAATAATAATAATAATAATGCAAGACAGACATGCTTTGGAAAAACAAGCCAACCATGTATTCCCTGTGCAAAAACCAACTTCACGCTACACAGTTACAGCAGGTAAATATTCCATTTTAGATCTTCTGCAGCTCCCAGAGAAATACTTTAAATAATGAGGGCGAAGCATGACACCATATAAGCACAGCTATTAATTAATGAGTGGGTCCCGCTTCTTCTGTGTGGAGGCTGGGTGCAGCAGGAGCAGTGGTGGGTAAACAATTGAAAGGAGAGGAATAAATTAAGGCAGAGAACAAGTGCTTGACCCATTTCTGTTTGCCTTGTGGGAATCTGAGCTGAGCTGTGCAGCACTAAGCTTTCCTCTGCACTTCCACTGCTTTATCATAGACCGGAGCGCGGAACAAGAAAGACTCACAGCAGACAGACAGAACATATTTAATACGCATGTTTTTCCACTAAAGTGTTGTTTACTACATAATTCAGCTGTAATCCACTGATGTGTTTAAAGACATTTTGAGGGCTGTTTAACTCGTGGGAAAAGCAGAAAGCCGCTCCCACATGCTTATACAATTATACAACGCTATTCTAACTTACTCGTGCGAGTGGCTCTTAAAAATGTACCTGTTCTGCACAAGGAAGTCCACCAGGTGCAGTGAGGTCTGGTCAGCAGTCCGTACAGAGTAGTGCAGTGCTGTCTCTCCGGCTTCCTGCAGGGGGCCATCAAACACAGCAAAGACACGGTGAGACAATCTTGGGCAGCATCCATTCTGTATTCTCTCCCTCTCTGTGTCTCTTTCAGCATTTAAACAAGCTGCAGTAAACAAAATGGCTCCTAAAAATATTATTTCTACAAAGCACGAAAGTGAAATTTGCCCATTTTTGCATTCATGCCATGTGATTTGCCGTTTTAAAATTGAATCTAGGTGTTATTTCTTTCGATTCGACGTTAAAGATGGAGATAAAAGATTACATTAATGGAAGTAACGGTTACATGTGCTGTGTATTTGGTGGCATCCTGGCGTCTGTAGAGTAGAGTACATGCTGCATTTAGTCCTGCATTCCTGTCGGGCTATCTGTGTCTAGGTTTAATGGGGGAGTGGGATGTCACTGTGCTGTCTGCAGCCATTCAGATGTACTGACAGCAGCAGATTAGATATCGGTGAGTCAGACTTCATAGCGCAGACAGCAGCAGCAGCAGCAGCAGCAGCAGCAGCAGCTCCCTCTGTCACCAAATGATATCCTCTTTTATTGCGTAGCAGCATTGAATGCTTAATTTTTCATTAGAGGAGAACCATGTCTGTGCTATAAAACCATCGACCCATTTATGTCAGATTAACTCTGACCACCCATGTTGTTTACGCTACAGTATCTTCACCATCTCCTGCCTGTTATTTAACTTTCATTTATGCCTAAAGCAGTGGCGCAACAGCAATGAGGAAACAAAGAGAAAACAGGCTGAACCGCAGAATAAAAAACAGACACACGAATTGAGCCACCACAGATGCCGTCATTTAAGTAAATATGGACTCAGCAGAGATGATGCTCTACAACGTGGTGGAGGTTACTGGATGTCACCACCTGCTGGTGAAGTTATCCGGATGACTCAAAATTTTCCAACTGTTACGCCCATTTCTGCCCACCAAATAATTCACCAACTGGTAGAAATGTGTCAGCATTGGTGGACGGGAATAAACCTCACATGAGGATGAACCACTGCAGCGGCATGTGTAAGAGCTGTGGGGAGGAGGTTTCCTGGCTTTGTAGTTTAGCGTGGGATCACCGAGCGTCACAGAAATATAGTGTGGAGGTTATGGGAGGAGGCTGACATGTAGCCAAGATTCCAGGCAGCAAGAATGTCAATGTTACATGATAGGTATCTTCATCAAGGCTTTCTGAGAAATATTCAATATTTAAAGGGCCAGTTCAGCCAAATAACAAAGGCGAGAAACATACATCTGCACTGACGCTGAGCGGTTTCACAGCATGCAGATAGTTTGGGTTTTATTTGCCGAAGTGTCCTTGAATAATCTGGATAATCCACAATCTCACTGTCTGCAGTTTCACTGAGCCGATTTCTTTTATGCATTGCAGCTGTTTTTACATTGGCAATGTCGCCGACTGTGAGAGGGGTGACGGAAATACTAAAAGTCAAACATTTGGATATTATAGCACACACATTTGGCCTTTCACCTCTCCTGCATCCAGCATATAAACTCTTAAGTGCTGTGAAATTGAAATCACTGCAACAGCTACAGGAAACCAAACCAAGCAGCGAAGTGGTTGATGACTTATTGTACAGATGATTAGCTTTGAGCTTGGAAACCACTGCCTCAAAGTTCAGACTCACCGGCCCCGCCTCCGGGAGCGGCTCCATAAGCTCCACCCCCTCTGCGTAGACCTGGATGAGGGACAGCAGGTCCCTGGACTGGACCGCCTCAAACAGCTCGATCATTTTAGCTGCCGCAGACGTGCATGTCTTCCTCGCATACTTGTGGTCCACGTACTTAGCATTGATGAACTCCTTTCTCACCGTCCTGTGGGCAAAATATTGCGTATTAAAAGTGTGTTTTAAGAGAAAAGGAATTCTGTTTGGATATTTGGATATATAAGTCAGAGAGCACTTACATGTCACTGGAGGGAGTGGGCTTTGGTGAAGGGGAAGGGAGATTTCCCTCCATGATCTCATTGAAACTACTGTTCCCTACATTCTTGGCCAGCTGGGGGAGAAAGAGGGAAAAGTCAGTCATCGGATCACAGTAATGTGAAAACGTAGAGCAGCATTTGCTTGTGCTCAGAGACAGATGAGCACAGTGGATCTGGGAGTATGAAAGCCCGCTGCTTTAAGGATCAAATTCTGCACTTTCCTGTGTTTCCACTACTCTTTCATTATTTTCTAATATTTCACTAGAGATGAAAATAGTAGAGGGTGTGGACTGCTGCTTCTCCAAAAACGACTATTTATTCACTCTGCAGACCGTGTCGAGACTCACCAAGAGTTCTGAGGTTCCCAGCTTGTCGAGCTCCATGGACTGGATGCGGGAGATGTGGACCCCCATCTCACGGTGGATGCCAGAGCACTCGATGCAGGTCAGGATCCCCAGGTTGGTGGAAAGCCACTTAGGGTCTACAAACACAAACAATATAAGAAAACACATGTTAGCCATCTACCTCCGGTATAAAGATACTGCAATAGGCATGAGTGGAGCTGGTGTGGACCCAGTAAAACTATTTCAAGTTGGATAAGATGCACCAGGTACCTCTGAAAGCTGGTAGCTCCAGACGCAGCAGGAGATACAGTAACTTCACTTCGACTACCCAGAAACCGTGCATATTAATTCAAATCTTTATGGGCAATGAATGCCACAGAGATCATGTTTACAGAATAAAAGAGCAAGAGATTTCTCAGCGATAAAACGCATCAGTCATGACCCTTAATGAAAATTATTTTTTTTATCTGGCTGCATTGTATTCTAGCTCTTTAAGGCCATTGTGTGCAGAGAAAATAGTTTCTCTGTGTCTCTGAACTTGATTCATTCCTGGATGATTGTTGAATCTGGGAGAAAAATGGTGTGGCATTGACAGAAACTATTACTCTTGAAGTGAGAGGGGCCGACATCAAAACCACAGACATCGATGTTTAAGGGATAGATGAAACATTTTTCTGCTTCAGGACTCCTTGATAACTGCGCCGCGAGCGTCTAAACACTGTTTACATTCTGTCGCTTTTCTGTGTGAACGAGAGAAATACATTTCACACATGAACAGAAACAGGTTCATCGTCAGTACCTGTTTTTATTTGACTGTTAATGCCATTTAATTAGTTATGTTATTACATTTTTTTTTAATTCAGAATATCATATCTGACACTTCCTGCAGACAGAGAAGTATAAAAATCCTATACCAGAATTTAATTTTAACAAACAGGAAAGATCCAAGTTTTTGTGCTACAGCTGCATTTATTAATCCTGTGTCATTGATGAAAAACACAGACAACCTTTCATCAGCTCAAATATCTGATGAAGCTGTGGATGCTCTTACGTGTGATGTGCGTACAGCCGTAAGATCATGTAATCTTGGTCATGTTACGGCTGATGAGACAAACCTGCCTTGGATTTATTGACTGAATGTATTTATTTTTATTCGCAAATCAACAATAAACATTGCAGATAACTATATGAATGTTGAAATCACAAACAGTGACCCACAGTCACATCGTACAGCAGGAGGCAGATAAAGTCCATTGCATAATCTACAGTCAATCAAACGGCACAAGCACGCTGAGATGCACCAGCGGCGGCTTCACGCGGCGCCCTCTGAACTGACTGACCGGCGTCACTGCCTGATGCTCTGATGCAATCTGGGAGATTTAAGCCTCAGCATGCAGCTCGGCCGTGTTGTCCGTGACCTCGGTGATGCTGTGAGTCGCGGAATGTCGTTCTGTCCGAATCTGACATGTTAACAGCGGGCAGAGGTCGGCGGGAACGTCAGAGGCAGCCCCAAAAACCAATGAGTCATACACAGAAACACAGGCCGCGAGCAGGCAGGCACAACACACACACACACACACACACACACGCGTGCACACATATTTACACAGGACAATGAACAGATGCAAGATGGTGATAGGTCACGAAGTGCATGTTAAAGCATGATGAGTGAATGCACGCTGACCTCCAGAGCCGTTTAACGCTAATGCTGCAAAGCTGTGTGTTATAGAGGGAGACCCTGGGAGAATATGAAATAAGATGGAGTCGTCCTCTTTCTGCTCAGACCAGAGGGAACAAAGAGGCGACCTTTCAAAGTCATTGCAACGACCTTTCAACCATGAAGTTAATTTTAGGCGTGGAGGAAAAAGACGCACTTCAGCGCTGGGTGTCATCTCCTCGGCGGAAGCTAAAAATCGATTGTGGTTTTAATAAAGTAAAACAACCCACATCTGGCAGTGTTACTACTGAAGCCATGTATACTGCAGCAACAAGAGTATAGACATGACAAATTACCTCCCCCCTCTGCAGATATCAGGGGTCGTCGGAGCGTGTGTGACTTATGTAACGACGTGATGTAATGATGTTGTTTCTCAAAGCGAAGAAATGTTTTTTTTCCCCTCAGAGCATAAAGTCCTCCCGTCGGTCCGAGCTGCTGTGTGTGTTTGTGTTGACAGAGGAGAATGTGTGTGTGTGTGTGTGTGTGTGTGTGTGTGTGTGTGTGTGTTAAGTGTCAGAGGGCCTGAATGTCTACGCCACTCCTGAGTGCTGAGTCTTTGCTTCCCAATGTGGGGGAGGACCAGGATCGGGTTGTGTCCTGAATGCCAACAACACTAATGCACGCACACACATACACACACACTTGTTCACTGAAGGCTGCTGGGGGATTTTGCAGTGCAGCTTGTTCAGTTACCATCCAACTGAAGGACACGGAGTTCAAGGTAGCTGTGACTCTGCAATGGAGTCAAGATTGGTGCGTGGATTTAAAATAAAACATTTGCTCAGAGCTGAATCTGAAAATGCTGAAGTGAAGGTGTTTGTCTTTTTCCTGGAACAAGGTGAGGGTTGACTAAGCATAAAACAGGAAGAGGATGTGCATACTATATAAAGCTTCTCTGGGCACAAACACACACACACACACACACACACACAGCAGCAGTACTCACCTGCAGCTCCGCAGTCGCAGCAGACTTCATTGCCCGGCATGCGCAGCACGTCTTCTATGATGGCTTTAGTGAGGTCCTCTAAACCGTCCTCGCCTCCGCTGCTCTGCTCACCGCGGAACGCCATGTTCAACGCCTCCTCCTTACTGTTGGTCAGCACCGAGATCCAGCTGCAGGAGGTAGGACATCATGAATGCCGTTATAAGTAGAGCTGGAACTATTTTGCTTGAATTTTTCTGCTTGAAAAACTAGAATTAGAAATAAGTCACTAAAAAGTTGATTATAGCTACGAGAGAGCAAGGTGCCAGTTTCCATAAACCCAGTGTATTCTTCATTACACACAGTTATTAACAGATCTTTAGCCAAGTCTGTGGTCATTAAGAATCATGCAAACAGGAAAAACTGAAGCTGACTTTCAAACACAATGTGCTGCTACACTCTACCCACTGAACTGGCCCGCACACACACCTACACACACACACACACACACACACACACACACACAAAGTGGGCTTTATGAGCCTGACGTCAGCATTTCCTCTGTCAATGCCACTCAATGCCGCCTGTAAAGACAGAGGCCAGACAGGGAGTGGGCACACGGACCGATGTGTTAGATTGTCTGTTTATCCGTCTGTGTGTAAAAACAAGAAATTTTAATCCACAGATGCGTAGGTGTGCAGCTGCTGAGCCAAAGCAGTTCTGTGTTTACTTATAATATGCATTATAATATGCTCCCAGCCTAATTGAGGGGGAGTGTGATTGCCCAAAGCAGAAGCCCTATGGAATACTAAATATTTCATGGAGAATCCCATGAAGACGCTGCTGCTGCAGTTGCTGCTGCTGCTGCTGCAGCTGGAGGTGCGTGACAGAACCGGCAGTGAGAAGCACTGAGCTGGATCCCAGAGGACTACATGTACATGGAGCTACAGAGTGCTCGAGCAGCACTGAAACAAGCCGCACAACCACAGCAAAGATAGAAGAAAGCTTCCGGCATCAGAGGAAGAAGATGCCAGCCCAGAACAAAAGTGTCAGAAATCAAAGTGTGCTTCAAGAGCGTTTTAGTCTAGACAGCTCAAGAAGATTCAGTGAGACTCAGATTCAGTTTCCTTTTAATGATTCAGGGTGTTTCTCCCTCGAGAAGCAACACAGAGTTTACTTATTAAACTATTTTCATAATTTCGAGGGGAAAAAACATTATAATGAAGATTATCCATCTAAGAAGCTTTGTGTCATTAGCATGGAGCTGAAACAATTAATCAATTGACTGAAAAATAATCAGAAAACACTGTTAGGATTTTCATCTTTTCTGTGTTTTATATCATTTAAACTAAATGTTTTTGGCTCATTTGACAAAATAAGCAGTTAGAAGACGTCATCTTGGGAAATGAACTCATATCTACTCAAAGTAAAACCAGATATTAGCTCCATGGATCAGCTATCTTTTGCTAACTGCAAAAAGTGGGACCTTCTAATGGGAGCTAACTAAGCTAGCTGATAGCCAACTAACAAATTACCTATTCATCTACAGCGGACACAAACATATATTACTACTTGCAGACGCTATAACAGTGTGCACTTTACTGAAAAACAAAATCAAACCTATATCATGTGTGGTGAGTGTGGAAAAGGTCACCTAAACAATTAGCACAACTACTGAAAGTCTACAAAAAGTGCTGATTAATATTGTGTGATAATCTAATAAAGCATTATATGAATTACTACTGTCCCAATCTGTCTGTGTGTGTGTGTGTTTCTGCCTATTCACATGCACATGTGTGTGACTGCATGGGAAACAACAGTTTGAGGGTACTGTGACCTGAATTACTGCAGACCACAAATCCCACTGCTCTCTTCTCTGCCACCCACTGCCAACAGTCTCTCTGCTCTCCGCAAAGTCAAACACATCCTGTCTTCAAGAATAACAATGTCACGACCGAGAATCCGCCAATCAAACCCCCATTAATAAAAAAAGATTAATGAAAGCTATCTACATCAATAACTAGATTTAGGTGAAAGGTCATAAGACAGGAAACGTCTCATAAACCTTCAAAAGGAAATAAAAATAAAAGCTCAACAGGCAGAAAACAAGCAGAGCATGATGCATTTCTCTGGACATGGTTACTCTCAAGTACTCACATGACAAACTCTTGTTCATCTTCAGCCTGGAAATGATATGTCCGGTTATCTGTGGAAAACCAGGATGTAAAATAAGCAAATGAGCTTGCATTTTTATTAGAAGCAACAGACATCATGCAGTAAACTATTCAAATATATCACTTGTCATGTGATCCTTTTGTACAAGTTCTTTTCCCTTGATGTTTATCTTGATTAAGCAGGAATTCCCCATCTTTCAGCAGGCTAACATCTAAATAACTGACCCATTCTGGCACATACACTAGTGAAATGAGCAGCAATTGCACGCAGAACTTACGAGAAATGAGATCAAAGCACTTCCTGTCCTCTGAGCTGGGTTTGACCTGGCAGGTGAGCAGGTTGAGTTTGACTGGCTGCCTGTTGGACTGCAAGACGAAACACATTACGCATTATAAAAGGCAGGTTTTTCAGGTTAGATGCACAACATTACACACAGAGGTTTCTATATGGTTATTATATATGATGCAATGTATCAGCTGTTTATTGTATGAAACGTCAAAGTGAAAAAGCCAAGATTTTTTTTAACAAGATATTTTTTCATTCTTCAACAATGCTGCTGTGACAATTTGAATATTCAGATAAAAAGTCACACAAGTCGAACAACAGGCTGAATTCAAGGCTTCTCTAGTCCCCACTAAGGAACTGGACGGCGCTGGCTGGGCTGTGTACTGTAATAATGGGCCCAGTTGGCACATGTACACTGAGCATTGTCTCCTGCCAGTGCCGGGGCAGGGGAGGGGCCGGTGCACGTGCTAATGAAATGCTAACAGGCGATGATGAGCCTTGGAGCTCGGCCGGCCTGCTGGCATCCCGCCATGTCAACGAGAGTCACCTAGAGTTCAGCTGCCACAAGGGTTGGAGAGAAGAAAAAAAAAAAACAAAACAAAAAAAACACTTGGAGTGGTGGTAAACTGCCCTCAGACAGAAAGGAGTGATTATAAGGTCTCGTAGATCTACCACTCAGACCAGAGCAGACAGAGAAGTTAAGGATTTAGTCCCTTCAGTAGAACAGAGGTAAACCTTTTATATCATATCTGAGACAACCACTTCCCCTGAGTCTCTCTAGCAAACAGAAATGATATCATGTTTGAGGCAGCCGCTGTGTGAAGGTTCAAATCATGCTCACACCCTAACACTATAAAAACAGCAAATGTGAACAATAAAAAATGCACAGGCTCGCGATCACATCGGTCGTGATCATTATGCGCCGCCAGAGCTGATCCTCCCTGCTGCGTTTCAGCTGGAACAACTGTGTCTTGTTGGTAAACAAGCCTCCAGAAAGCCAACCTCACCAGCTCAGACAACAAGCTGACTCACTGTTCCTCAGCAGTGAAAGTTACTAATATTGTCCCGACCTCAAATTCAAATATTTATATGGATACAAGATAAAATGTTATAAAATTCTGTTATCAAAATGTTCCAAACACATCGCACCAGTACCAATATTCAAAACATGTAACAGGAAACTAGTACAAATTACGGATGTCTCACAGGTATAATGTTTGCCATGTTCACCATCTTAGCTTAGCATGTTAGCATCCTGGCATTTGCTAGTTAGAACTAAAAACAAAGTACAGTCAGAACCAGAGTTGTGGAACGACATTGCTATCCTTAGAATAAGAACTAAATAATTTAGTCCGTTCTGGAGCTATTACAAGTTTGTTTACGTGAGAAATGAAAGAAGATAAAGATAAAACTGTGTAAAACCAGCCTTCATTTTAAATTTTGACCATTTGAGAAGCACACAAAATGCTGCTTTTCCATTTGTACCGCAAACTCCTGAATAATGCATGTTGATGAAACCTGTTTGACGTGAAGTAACAGATCTTTAACCATGCAATGCATTGTGGGTTTCAATCGTAGTCTGAGGCACTTTTCTAGTTTCACTCCCAGGACAAATAACAAAGAAAAGACCCTGCGTACTGCATGAGGCGCACGAACCAGAGCACTTTATTTTATGAAGCAGACAACATTTTCTTTCTCAAGGCTGCAGATCAAATAAGGTAATACCTTTTATGGGGACGGTCATGTGATTGATAACCAGCACAGGCTGGTAAATAAATCCCTGAGAGATTGATGTGTTTGACGTATAATCTTCTTAGGTTGTCTCATTCTATTTGACGTAAAGAAATTACATCAAACTGTAGAGAATTTACATAACTGCTGAATAATACATGCTTGTTTTTTTTAGATAGATTAATGGTCTGGTTATTTAACTACATGCAATATTCTGTAATAATCCATATCTATTGTTGGTGTTTCTTCATTCATAGAAGCAACTCAGCCTGCTGACAATTTGTTGCCTTTGGTCCAAGAATCAAGTACATATGACAAATTCTGTTTCCTTTTTGATCCTATTCTTTCTATAATGATACGGACCGAGTCATCTTAGCTTGAATGATAATGATACAGCTATGTTGGTTTGTAGGCCAGAGGAAGATGCATGTCACACCCAAACTTAGTCTCTTAATTAATTTTTTATTAACTTAATTATTTATTCTATGATGGCTTTTTTCCAACGTGGCTTTCCCTCCCCAAAATTTACACAAGATATCAGAGGAGCATCTTTCAGATCCACTCAAAAAACATTTAGCATTTTAGTTTATATAATTTGATGATTTTAAATTAGCGTAGTACAACTAAAATGCATAGGATCTTATTTTGAAAAACCTTGTTAAGTCTGACCGCCGAATGCAATGTTTCCTGTTTTTCACATGTTTGGATTCACTGATGATCTGAGTGTGATGAGGGAGACACCTGCCACTGCTCTGCCAATAATCATCTCAATTTACTGATTGTGCTAAGCCCCTAACTGTTTGAGGCTCAGTGGGAAGCTATAGAGCTATAAGGTGTTACAGAATGACCTCAGAGCTGAACTCAGCTGCAGATTCCTGCAGTTCACACAGGAAAGAAAACATCACACTGAGCTGCTGCTGCTGCACAAGAGAGGAGACAACGCTACAGACGTGCCAGCATATACAGTACGCTCACACTCGCTCTGAGATGAGTCACCGAGGCGCAGCAGGCAGAGGTGGGGGAGGGGTGGTGGGGACTCGGTGGTTGTGGAAAGGGGGGGGGTGGTGGTCACTGTTTCCATGACAACCCATCTATGTCAGCTCCACTCTTCCAGCTTTCCAGATTGAGAAAGCCCAACACAACCTCCCTGCATGATGCTCTCCCTTTGATTCACATAGTTACTCGTGAGGGTCAGGGGGTTCACGTGACTGTGTGTGTGTGTGTGTGTGTGTGTGTGTGTGTGTGTGTGTGTGTGTGTGTGTGTGTGTGTGTGTGTGTGTGTGTGCGTGTGCGTGTGTGTATTTGTCTTGTACTCACTGTGGCATGAGAGATGGTGAGGATGCCCCCCTTCACTGAGCACTGCCTCCTCTGCCACACCTTCCTCAGCCTGTGATGAGAGGGGGGAGGGGTGGGGGGTAGGGGGGTGGTGGCAGGGTACACACATTAGTTGAAGGGCTTGTCGTGTCTTTCTTCTTTAATTCGTAATGCAACACGAACGGTGCACTACAGCGTTTTTAAACAATGGCTGTGTTAGCAGCTTACCCATCACTCTTCTTCAGCAGGTAGCCTTTCTTCTCACTGCCAAACTCCTTGTTTCCCTGCAGCTGGTGCATGCTGTATCCACCCTGCTTGCTCTGCGAGTCCTGTGCAAGCCCACATCATAACACAAACACAAACACATACACACAAAAAACTACATTAAACACACATAGCATGTACGAAGAAGCTGCATAAAGACATGCATTACAGACACAAACACACAACAAACTGATTCTCTGACATGAAAGTACAGGGTGTCTCTTTTCAAAAACCGAAGTGAGTGCTAACAGAAGAATTCAATCTACAAGGCATGCTCTGCAACATCTCTAAAGGGTCAAACCACTCTACTGTCAAGCATAATAGACGGATGCCAGCATGCTCAACATGCACCAGCACTTACTCTTCTAGACTTGATTCCAGACAAGCAGAAGGCAGAGGGGGGGAGATAGAGGGGAGAGGTGTGAAAGATCCAGCTCAGGTGCAAGTGGTGGGTGTGAAAGAGTGTGTGTTCCCTGCCCGTTTGCCAAATGATCAACCACAATCTGAAAAAGTGTTTATTTTCTAAATGTGCACGGGTGCTATTAACAAGACAAGCTACAGAACGTGTAAATGAAATGTGAAAGACTCTATAGACGGTTTCATGCAGAACAGCGGACTGAGTGTGTGAACATGTGAACAGCGATGACGCTGGAAACCGACGCACGGCTACATCGGCCCGTGTAGATAAATAAAAACCAGGGGTGGCCGTGTTTTAAATGTGTGTGTGTGGTTTCGAGTCTGGCAGTGAGTGGCTCTCCACTGAGCAGCCAGTGAGGCACAACACTGGTCACCAGCAAAGCCTACCACACACTGGCTACCAGCATGGTACAGCACTGGGCACTCGCTCTGTGCTGCAGGAGACAAGCTCCAAACCTGGTAGTGGCCAGAGTGAGAGGGTGGGGTGGGGGGTGGGTGGGGGGGGGTTGTGTGGTAAAACATGGAAAGGGGGTTTCAGTATGACTGGGATGACTGACTCTACCCTGGCTCTGTTCAGCCCAATATATTTCTGGGAGGGCTGGTGCAGGAAGCACTTCACCTGCCTACGAGTTCAGATTTGGCCCGGTGTGTCTGGATGTGACCTGCCTACCTCCTTCTGGTCCAGCTGGAGGGAGGACTTGATCAGATCTCGCAGGGCAGTCAGCTGCTTCTTCTCCTCATCCTGAGTTTGTTTGATCTGTGGAGGAAAGGGAGAGGTACACCAAGAGAACGGAGAGAGCTGGTGTTTACAAAGAGCCATTTATTACACTAATAAAAATGACCTGTATAAATGTCTAGACTGAAATAAACTGGTGTATTCCAAAACGAATTTCAGTCACTTTACAAATTGCTCTCTTTACAAGCCATCCCTCACACCAGTGTCCAAAAACTTGTGCCACTTCCCCAGGCTCTGACAACCAAAGTGCACGAAACACAAAACTGAAGAAAAAAAAAAAGACAAAAGACCTTCACACTGCACTGATGGCCGCCGATAAATCTAATTTAATCGAGCATCAGGCATTGTTAGATCAAAACGTTGCTCCGTTAAATTCGATTTATTGGGAGGAATCAGTGCAGTGTGATGATCTTTTGTCTGACATCTACTTTCCCATGCGTTACTGTCTTCATATAAGTGAGGTTTAACTACTTTACAGCGAGTTCTGAATCGTGACAGCTGCTGCAAAAGAGCCACCTTCCCTCATATAATGACGGCAGGAGCTCTGTATTCTGATAAAACTGCTGCTTCGGGAGAAAGCACTGCATTCTTGACTTTGACAAAATGAAAAATAAAAAAAACCCTCAACTCAAGGTCCTCTTACTAGATTTTTCCAGAGCTTTTAACCACGTCAGTAAAAGCAAACTTATCTGCTGAAGTAAGTAAGTGGTTAGATTTTTTAACTACAGCTTTGGTCCAAGTATGCATGTGCACAAACACAGGCTGGAAACCAAAGCTGGAGCTGACGGTGATAAAGATGAAGGAAGAGGTGAAAAGGTGACTGTGTGAGTATTTACATTGTAGAGATCAGCTGCCAGCTTCTCAATGTACTGTTTCAGCTTATCCGCTGTCTTCAAGCCATCTTGAAAGAAACTGGAGGGACAGAGGTACATGTGAGTTGTCACTGACATTAACATTCATCGGAATAAATATGAGACACGGATCGGTCATTTAGGGAAACTGCTTCGCAAATGTCAGGTGTCACATTACGATCTTTTCGGCCACTATGAAGGTCACGCGGGGAGAAATTGGTGCAGTTTATGTTTAATGTATAGCCCGGCTCCTCCTGGCGCCTTTCGCCTCTTGGCACAGAAATCGTCTCTGGCCGTGTCCACAGCAGATTTGCAGAGGTGCTTAGCACATCCTGAAATCCATTACAGATCTGTCAGCGGTACAGACCTCGACGCAGCGCTGCATCTGCAAATCACTGCTAATGACCTCCCCTTCACTCTCTCTCCACCCACTGCCCTTCTTCTTGGAGCTCACATCTCCCTTCCTCCTTTCTTTACTTTCACACCTTTTCTGCTTGTTTTCTTTCACCCTGTGTATCGACCATCCCACATCTCTCCTCGAGCTCCATCCAGCTCTACATGTCAAGTACTGTTGGCCTCGCAGAGTGTGTGTAGACTAACTTTTATTTTGACTCTTGGTCGTGATGACACTTTACTCCCCAACTATGTTGCAGAGATTTGGGAAATGCAGATTCATCAGCTTGGCAAGAACGGTGTCATTTGGGGCACAGAGTGGGAGCCTCCAAGAGCTTCTCAAACAAACCTCATCCAACTCGCTTTGAGTTCAGCTGAAAGTAAACACAGAAAGTCCTCCCCTGGGAGTCCCTGTAGCTGATTTACCGGCCTTATTGATGCTCTTTCATCTTAGAGTGAGACTATGGTTCACTTTGATTCAGCTTGTGCAAGAGGAGTGATAACAAACATATTTGCTGCACAAATCCTGCATGTTATAGATCCCTTGTAGTAGCCTCCAAAATTACAGATCTGAGCATAACTCAAACTCACTTAGTTCACATGTTGGAACATTTGCTTAATTACTTTATTCATTTGTGGACAGACACATGGAATATTGTGCTTTTGGATCAATCATCCTATATGTTGGTATTGTGATATTTAAGTCAATAAAACTCACTAACTATTGATTATATTTATGATGCTTAGGGCCTCAGAGAAAATGTATAAATTTATGTGATTGATAAATAACCCAATTCATTTTATTTTATTCATTTCATCTGATGAAATAAAAAATTGTTCAGTTTTTGACTGCCACTCTAGTCTGGGCTCTAGTCAATTGGCTAATTGCTCTGCAGTTGATATGTATTTTACTACAACAGCTGCATGGATTTTTGTGGGACTGTTTCTACTGTTTTATTGAGGTTCACACATCTTGATCGATTTCATTCTCGATGGGAGTCATCCGGTCTTTCATAAATCTCTACAACAGAGGGGATGAGTAATGTTATCATAACCAACAGAAGATGGATAAAAATATGAGAATAACACGAAGATTGACATTTGCTTTTAATTACCCTACTTACTTTTGTGAATAAAATGGTTAAGACTGTAAAAATGAACACACACTTTTTAATTGTTTCCTTCTTTTCTAGGCTGTAAGCAGTCACACACTTCTCTTAGCTCTCCGCCCAGTGCCTTTATGCTTCTGATCCATCACCAGTGCAGCTTTTCTATCCATCAAAAGGCCCAGGTTGAACAGATTAAATGGCGAGGTATATTGTTTTGTCCCAGTGTTATGACAGGACCTAGCAACGCTGAGAGAAAATTTGTCATTCTGTGACAGGCCGTTGTGAGCTGCGGTTCTGGCACGGAGAGCGTCCACTTATTTACCCACCAAACCCCACAGCTGTCAGAACGTATCCATATGATGACCTGTGCATATTTATGAGAGCCATATATATATGTGTATATATATATATATATATATTTATATATATATATATATATATATATATATATATGCATACATACATACATACACACATACACAATGGTGCACCCTCAAAGATCCGTGAATCATAAAGGAGATAGAAAACTGACATGAAGAGCTGCAAAGAGGGAGAGAGACTCAACTGTCTAGACTCAATACGTTTCTCAGTGAGTGTGATGCATGCGACATGGGGAGCTTCACACTTTCAGGTTAGGGGGATTTATGTGGTACTTACTTGCACTGTGCGTGGTAATACTTAATCAGGTTCTGGAGGAGGTCCACTCCTTTCTTGGTCTTGATCTCATTTACTTTGATCAGGTACTGCAAAGCAAAGAGAGGTGCAGAGTTCAGCCAGGAGTTGAAATTCACGGTGTTTAATGTTTTTTTTTTGTTTTTTTGTTTTTTTTTGGTTTAATGAGGTAGCATGAGGCCCCACTGTTACACAGACAGAAAAAGACTTCTGCTTTGCCGTAGACACTTTTGAGTATGAACACTTTGCATTATGATAATCGCATCTGAGTGCACATATGCCTTACGAAGCCTTTGATGTTCGAGCCAAGACTGCCTTGACACTGTGGGAGTGGGGACTAGACTGGTAAACACAGAAGAAAATGCCTTGTAGTACAAGAGAATATCATCCCTCTCCCTTGATCTAAATAAAGTTTCAAAAGTGTGATGAAAAATACTTTACATTAGCATTATAAAAAAAGAGAGAACAGCCTCGAGAGGAAGTGCTTTGTAGGCTGTATGTCTGGGTGTCTTCAGACAGCGCTCCCACCAAACAAACGAATAAAAGATAATCTTAATCTGAGCTAATCCCGCAGTGTGCCAATCCACAGAGATTTACAAAGAGTCAGAGCTAAAGACCACTTTCAGATCCACAGCAAAATTTAATCTATCACACAAAAGCCTTGTGACGCTCCATGCCAACATACAGTTTCAATTTGCTCCTTGTATCATGTGTGTGGATGCACGGGCGCATGTGTGCGTGCATCTATGTGTGTACGCATGCATGCCTTGTCCCTTTGTCTGCCTGACAGTGCTTGCTGGATGGGAGATTATCCACATTTTGTCTGAGCCTTGTGCGGGTTCAGTGTTTTGGAGAGCCACTGCCGCATGTGCGTGTTGAACTCTTTTGTGTGAATGAGCAGCGACGCTCGAACTGCTGCCGTGTCTGGGCGGAATATAATGCAGCCCGCTGATCCCTGCCTTTCCACACTCCTTCGCTGACAGCGTAGGATGAAAAGGGTGAGAGAGCGAGAGCATCCTGTAATCTGGTGATTGAGTAACATGAAGAGAGAGAGAGAGAGACAGAGAGAGAGAGAGAGAAAGAGAGGGGGAATGAGCGTGAGAGCGAGAGAGTGCACGCAACAGAGAGAAATGAGGTTAAGTGGGATGAACAGATTGTATCACTGACTGCAGCAACTGTCCCACACACAACAACAGCCCCACTGGTATTTCCAGCCAGGATGACTGTTGATTTAGGAAACCTCTGATGTTTGTGATTATTTGGTCTCCTCTATTTATTGCTAAAGCGCCTTCTACACACACGACATGCTTCAGAAATATCAATGAATCACAAAAACAAGTCCAATACATAAAACAAATGGGTCAGATTAAAAAAATGCCTCAGATAAAATGTTGATATTCAAGGTGCAATAGATAAAATCCTCAATTATAGAACTGTATATGTAATTTCATATCACATTATCAGTACTGTTTATCTTGCAAGGCTGCAACTAACATTTCCTTCTATTACTTTCTTAAATAATCAAGTAATTGTTGTGTGTATGGAAGGTTAAATATAGTGAAAACTATTTCTTAAAGCCCACGAGAACATACTACATTAAATTTGAGCTGCAACAGATAATCTGATTGAAAAATTATTCAATTGATTAATCAGCCATCAAAATTGTTGTTGATTAATTCTCTGTTGATGACTGATTTATTTATCAACTAATTCATCAGCTCTGATATATTGAGATATTCTAAACCTTTTTACCGTTTACCTTTTTACTTTTGGTGGTTTGAGCTACATGGTAATGCTAGCATGCTAACATTCGCTAATTAGGGCTAAACACAAAATTCCACCAACACTGATGGGAATGGCATTAGTTTTGCAGGTATTTGGTCAAAAATCAAAGCATATGACAAACTGAAATTTTGACCTGAAAGAAGAAAAGTCAGGAGATCACCAAGGTCAGAATGATTCATCCTCTGAAAACCACGAATGCACAAACTCTCGCTGCGTTCTGCCTGATACTGTAGATGTTAAGATATTGGAAACACTGTGTTTTTAGCCATGTGCAAGCATAACTAAAAATACAGTATTTCCATTAGGCAGACCTTCTCGCTGATGACTACAGCAGCCTACTACAGCCAGAGATATAAAAGGGTCGCTACCATGGAATACTCATTTGTCCTGTCTCACAGTGTAAATCTCCGTATGACTCTATATATACATGAGTAGCTGGTGAGATATCTGGCTCTCAAAACTCATTATTTTTGGCCTGAACACTGAACTGCATTTGACCTGAAGCTAACACGGCATACTGCACAGTATATGCATAGAAACAAGTGAATTATGCTCTCATAATACAGCCCTTTTTAATGCTTTTTTGGGAAAATTCTTCAAACCACATGGTCGTCTAACTATCATTTACAGTGAGGCTGGTTTAGTAACAAGTGGCCAAAACCACAAAGGCCTTTTGTTTCAAGTTCTTACCCTGAAACAGCCAACAGGCCCTACTCAGAGGATTCCCACAGTGCTATGAGGATACAACAAATCAGTATCATACTGGAAGTCAGAGCATGAACATGCAAAGCTCTGCAGATGATTAGAAATTTTAAATCAAATCTACGCTTCAGGCAGCCAACAAAAGAGGAAGCCATTGTTAATGTAATGTGGGAGCTACAACTCTTTTTTGGCATCCTGCGGCAACTGGAGGCGAGCTTCAACACTGGATAATACAGTGACTGATAAGTAGGTCTTCTGTTTCAAATTCAGGTTCAAACTTAAAACAGCAACAGTTGATATTTTCATCAGAAATATGTATCAAATTACAAATGTGAAACAATGTGACAATGGGAAAAGGGGTCGCTTGTGGTGATGAATTATCACCTGATTCTTCGGCTCACCCCAGCTTTATAGAGTTTCATCTTAATGTTTACACAACTTGACTGTTTCGGTTCACTCCCATTGGTATCATAGCTCAGACAGACAAATTTAGCGTCTAGCTGGTGAACATAGAAGATCAGTTAACAGCTAAAGAGCCTGATAATTCCCTCAAAGGTTAGTAGAGACCAAACATAGAGCATAAAGAAAGTCAATATTGGACTTGCATTTGCCATGTGGCCAGAAACATGACATAACTGCTAAATGTGTAGATAAGCAAAAAATAATTTAATACTGGATTAACTTTATTGAAAAAAGGGAAACTTAAGACTGGTTAAATCATTTAATTTTAGAAATGTTTCCAACAGAAAATAGCTAACTTTTCATGGTACTAGACAAAATGCACATATAGGTCAAAATGTCAGAGTTAGGAAATTGTGCTATTGTTTAAACTAAGCAACCAAACAACTTAGCAACTAGCATTAGCATCCTAAGAACTATCACTAGGAGGGCTAAAAACATTGAAGACGAGGGCTTCAGTTTGGATTGGAGCAGATTAATACTCAAATTTTACCTAACTTTGGTGAATTTACTTTTTAGCCATATTAGTAGCTCTAATGGCAATGTTAGCACGCTAACATGCATAACATGCTACATGTTAGCGTGCTAACATGCTAAACTAAGATGGTAAAAATGGTAAATGTTATAGCTTCTGAACATCAGCATGTTAGTATTGTAAATGTGAGCATGTTAGCATACTGATATTAGCATTTAGCCTCACACAGATGCTAACATGGCTGTAGTCTTGTTTATATTGTTTGTATCCTTCTCTGTTCCATTTGTTTCATGTTTTTACTTTCTGTAAAACATTACTGGTAAGTAAACCTGACATGAATATGCCGTACAGCCTGACCTGTAACATAATAGGACGTTTAAACACAGGTGGGAAATGTGGGCAAGGAAATACCTCTGAGTCACCCTGACAGGAGAGAAGATCAGCATGGCAGGGCACATAAGGACTGCAGCGAGTCCTGTAGTGAATAATTCACACAACCAACAGCAGTAGAACAGCCATTGGTCCATTATGTAATTTGAGTTAAAAAATCCTAACAGGATAAAAGAGTGAACAAGGCGTAGGCGTCACCACCCACCACTAGAGAGGTTTTTGGCAAAGCAGAGTGAGCTCTAACAGTTTGTTCTGAATCTCTTGGGCACATACAGAGCTCACATTTGTTTTGCACTTAATTCTAGCTGTCACTTTTCTTTAATCACAGTCTTTGACAATTAATACTAAAACATGATTCAAACAGTGTTGCCACATTCTCAAAGGCAAACAAGTTTACAGAAACAATGGAATATCTGAAAATACTTTTATACGTTTATTAGTGGTATAATATCTGACACGTACTCATCACGTCTTTTTAGGGTTGTATTTTCTAAATCTTATCCACACCGACATAAAATCATTGTAACAGCCAGTTTTGGTCGAGTCTTGAGGATGACAGCCAGAGACTGGTGAAGTACATACCATCCTCGTGAATTAATTTAGGTACAGCTGTATCTTAAGAGAAACTGTAATCCCTGCATGAGTGATACAGCTAACCTTTAAATTATTCAAATCATCTCTGAGAAAAAAAAAAAGTCAACTCAAGCTTAAAATCTTTTACATAGTATAGGATTTTAATAATAAGTGGGTGTTCAGACCAAAAGTAGCACTGCGTTGGTGGAGGCTTGTTGCCATAGGTACCAATAAGAAGATGAAACACCATCCAGGAAGGCCGGTTTGAATGATAGATCCATGAGTTTCAGAGTTTATCACAGAGCACAACACTGAACGGCGGTTTATAATACTTCGAGAAAGGGTTTTACAATTCTGGAAAAAGTTACCACGGCAAAAAATGTTTTTATTCTCCGCTTCATGGATCATGAACAAACAATGAATCTACTGGGAATGCATGTTTCATTTCATGCATGTGTTTGACCGGCTGATGGAGTGCAATGTCAGACGATGTTGTTTTATGCTGCAGCAAAAGTTGAGCCAGACTGCTGAGATTGCTCCTTGTAGCTTTTGCTTAAGAGAGCACGAAGACGTGCAATTATGCAACCTTTCAATTTGCTGGGTGGATATTTTTTTCTGAAACTAGAAAGATCGAATTTACATCTTAGATCTGACCACAATGCAAGACTGACCACCTAGGATCACTTCAACTGTCATGAGACCAACTTGTAGAATTTGTTATAATGTCACTCTGTACGGTCCGGCCATTCGTCCATATCCGGACAGGATTTCCAGATAAAGATCGTATGTTAATGCAGACTCGTTTTACTACCTACCTCACACATCTGGAGCTGAAAGAGACGCCGCTCCTTCTCCATCTCCTCAGCAATTTCAGCCCCGGTGATCTCGGTGCGGATCATCCCATGCTGCTTGGCGTGCTCTCGCTTCTCCTTCTCTATCTTTGTACTGATACACAGGACAGGACAAGTCACTACGTGGATGCACTTCTCTTTTTCACATGTTTTGTGTGCAGGTTTGTGTTTTACAATGTGCTCTGCCTGCAGTAACTTCTACAAGGCTCCTGGAGGATCCAGACATTATAAACAGTGTTTGATCCATTATTCAGTGCACTATAATGAGCTAGATGATGCAAAAATGCAGTATTACAACAGCACACTTTCATTATCCACTTACAACTTGGCCTCGTAGTCTTTCCATGCTTTGTCAAAGGGCTTCTTTATGTCCTGCAGAAACACAGGAGGACAAGCATCAGCAAACTACAAAGAGGTCACCGTGGGGACGGAGTTATTTGCAGAGTTGGATCGCTACCAAAGACACAGCAAATGGCTCACTCCGCTCACGATTTATGTCCTGCACGCCAAGCGAGTGACCACGCCCCTCCTTGTACCCCAAACATCAAGGGTTCATGACCCAGTTACTTGCCATTCACCTCAAACACAACACAGAGGCAGTGTTTATTCCTGAAAGATTTACAACGTGGTCTTTAAAACAAAGAACTGTACTCCCCCGTCTCTCCTCTAACTCACATGCACAGAAACTCGGAGATGAATATAGAGATGTGCTGACGAGGTATCTATTTCCTGTGCTCCACAGCCGAGACATATCATGGGGGGGGGGAGTCAAGTGAGAGAGGGAAAAAAGAAAAACAGTTTTACAGTAAATCTTACCCCTTTCACGCCCTTCAAATCGCCCTTCAGCAGAGAGTCTAGGGTGAAGATCACGTTGTGGCTGAGGCTCTGGAGCTAAAAGAGGACACAGAGAAGAGGAGGAGGAACACAGAGAGTTATAACGTGGCTCTTGTCACAAGCAAACATGGGTAACATATCATCATAACAGTGTGAGAGGCAAATATTTACGGGATATGGTTGTTATTGTGGACAAAAACCTCTGTCCAGCCAAACCTTGACATAACTCGTTCATCTACGACAAAGAGCTCGATTGTCGTCAAAAAAAAATGAATAAATAAAAACCTCACCAGCACCGTTGCACTGGTTGACACGTTCCTTCTTTACTATGAACATGGGCACTGCATTTTCTGTAAATCCTGCTGCCAAAAATACTTGAGCATACTAGTACACCAAATGTGTATTAATCCACAGCTGAAAATAGTCCCCAATAAATGCACTAGTTACTCCTGTTTGAATAACATTTGCTAAAACCTACAATGTCCAGCTGCTTTAGACGAAACTATATATTCTAACCACATTGTAAAGCAGAATTAGCTGAATCTTTTTGCCATTTAGGGCCAGTGGAACAAGCTGTAAACACTAAATTGAGATATTATCACCTTATAAAGTTGCTATGGCAAACGTGTTGCCTATTTACACCTCCAGTGGACACAGAGCAACATTAACAATAATGGGGGTCTTATTTCTGGCAACCTGACAAATCCCAAATCCAATATTAACTCTCCTCCTTAGCTCTGTTATTGGTTTCCACCAACTCCTGAGGAAAACATGGCTTTTTAGCAGAGTAATTTACTCCACTATGTTCCCTAGCTAGCTGCTAGCTTTGTCTGCAGTTTGTTGCTGGAAAGGTAAAAGTTAAGTTGCGGGGCAAAAACCAAAACAACAAGCTGAAAAAAAGGGTATGTATACTGTAGGTGAGAGGAGGCGCAGAGTCAGGTGATGATTGGGGCTCGGTGCCACAAACAAGAGAGGGATGTAGCAAAGTACTGAGAGAAGAGGACTAGAACAATGTTGGATTTGGCCTCATCTTTTAACCTACAGAGCGATGCATTAACACATTCTTGCTGCTGCTGACTGAAGAAATCAGCAAACATAATAGCAAAACTCCTGCCAAAAACAGCACAAGTGCAAGTTAGCCTATGGAAGAATTAGCAAAAGCTTGACGTTGCCAGCACCTCCGGTTGCCACAGCTATGCTCAGCAGCTCTAACCATAAGGATCAGCAAGGTCATTTACAACAGTACTAAGCATTTAAGTCCCTGTTGCCGTTATCCAAGTCCACACAGACACACAGCAGCGGTCAAGGAAGTAAACAACGCTTAATGGGCGCTAATGTGCTTCTTAAGTGCCTGTCTTGCATATGGCCAACGTCAGAATCAATCTTCCACTGGCCGACTGCCGGTGTGCTCTAACAGCCCATCCTGGAAACTGTCACTGTCTCCTTTGCTTTCTCTTACTGCACAATTCTCAGGAAAAGGAAAATAAACACAGAAAAAAAGGTGCAGGGGGAAAAGAAAAAGAAAAAAAAAGAAGCTGGCAACAACCTGGATAAATTTGTTTAAAAAATCCTTACATTTCAGCCGATAACACATGTCGGACATCTAGGGCAAGTGCTGTTCATCAATACTCATTTGTTGTGCACGCACATACCAGCGGCCTCAGGGCAAAAGTTATTGAAGTCTAAAAACTCACTCAATAAAATGCTTAAAATAGAAAAAGACAGGAGTCAAGAGAGAGAGAGAAAAAGAAGATGAAGAGAGGAATGTACAGAGACAATTTCACTTTCCTCCCTTTATGCAGGTAGCCCCCACAGTGGGGTGATTTAAGAAGGTTTCCAAATGGACGGACACACACACACACACACAGACACACACACACACACACACACACACACACACACGCGCGCGCACACACACACACATAGTTGTTCCTGGTGAAAACAAGTGTATTTATGGAGCCTAATCTCGCTGTCAGCCACACAGGAAGAGAGGGTGAGAACGGAGACTGGCTCTTCTTCCAACAACAATCGCTCACAGAGGATTCGAACAGGACACAATATTCAAAGGAAACGTCAGGGGAAATCCACAGCAGGCAGATAAGAGCCTCGACTGGAAAAAGAAATACAAGGCTCGGAGGTAGATTTAGCCGCAGTCAGCTATACTGTCCGGCTGTGATGACAGTTTTGACTGTGTAGGTGATTCTTACACAGTTACGTACGAATGTAGAGACAAAATAAACCTGTAGGCAAACAGACACAGCTCTGGTATAACAGTGTTCCAGACCCTCAGCTTCTCCCTTACATGTCTAACCCTAACTCTTAACCTGATGTTAACCTAATCCTCATCTTAAAGTTAAGCCAAAATCCTAAACCACTTACCCATGTGGAGACAGGAAAACAAACTCTCTATGGAGACTTTTCCTCTTTCTATCCTCCCAGGACACGAGCACGCACAGAGACAGGCAGCGTTCAGTAGGACAGGCTCTCTAAGACATTCATTTTAATGATGAAGCGAGTGTCGACATGTTGGACTCACCAGGTTCTTCAGCAGGGCAGACAGCTCCTTGGTGAGGGAGGAGAACTTGACAAAGGCCGTCCCCAGGTCAGGGTTGTCCCGGCTGATGAAGTTGCTGCCGAATTTGTCCAGAGCTTGGGCGTAGTTTTCTTCATTCTGAACGTGGTCTGAGTTGGAAAGAAAGAGGAGTCAACCAGCGCTCAATATACCTGCCCTGAACTCTGTGTGTCGCTCACAAAGGTGACACATATCCTAGAGGGTATGGCTGGGGTTTTCAAACCTCAGTATATAAAACACAGACACTGTCAAATGCCCGATCAGACTGGTGATCTTTTTTTACTCATATATATCATTTATATAAATAAAACATTTGTCCTTTTGTGACACAGTGGCATAAACAGAATGAAAACTTAGGCTTACTAGTGCGGTAAAACAGAAGGAGTTTAAGATGGAAAGGAAATATTTCAGTAATGCACTGCTCTTTGTTTCCAACAGCAACAGAGACAAACACCTGGAACAAAAAGGTTTCAGTCCTCGGGATGTTCCTAATAACACAGATGTGGTAGAAATCCTGCAGCAACAGAGGCAATATAATAACAGACAAATGTGACCTTAACCAATGGTTTTTGATCCATGCTATTCCACAGAGACCTTTTTGATTTATAAAATTTGAAACAGTAAGTCATAATTAGATCAGCATAACAAGACAATGCGTTTTCTCCAGGTCTGTGAAACTCTACGGGAGCCAAACGGCAGCACCCATCTGTCCTTGTCGTTAAGTCAGAGACGGAGAGGGAGAGATGTTCAGACTGCTGCCAGATCTAGAGAAGAGTCCAGCGAGGGACGTCAGGTGAGACAAGCACCCTGCAGAGCTTCTTCCTGCAGCAGCCATTTTGAATTTTCTTATCACACTGGAAACTCAAACATAGTCCAAACAGGGCTCTAGTTGCCATTGAGGACGCCATCAAAACCATTTTTGACGACGTGTATGGTCAGTGAGCAGCCATTCAGTGTATTTACATTCAGTGATTACCTCTCTGGATAGCAGTTTTCATTAGTAGTGGTGGTGGTAGTGTAATCCAGTGCTGCTGTTTTTAATATCATCTCACTGAGACCCACCGTCCGCCCTCCTCAAGCTATCAGAGCTGTATGAAGTTACTGTAATGGAAACCCAACATTTCCTGCTGATGCTGCGTCACATTAAAGGCACGATGCTGACGTAACACGGAGTGGCTTTTATTGTGAAGCTGTCACAAAGAGCTAAAGTATCTGTCACCGGGGATAATGTTAAAAAAAAAAAAAAAAAAGAAAAAAAAAGAAAAAGAAAAACAAGATAAGTTTGTTTTTTTTTTGCAATTTTCGCCAGCGGGTTGTTTTGGCTCTTGGCAAGAGATGTTTCTGTTGTTTTGGGACTTTGCAGTGTCTCATCTCCTACAGATCACAATGAGAGTGGAGTGAAGTGAATTTTTCTGTGAAGAACAAACAAACTTTTTTTTTTGTGGCACAAACTGAAACTGTCAATTTACAGGGAGGAGGCTGCTCTCTAAAGTATTCAGTGGAAAATTACTGAGGATCCATGTCACAGCAACGAGCAAAACAAACTCAGGTGTTGGTTTCTGGGACAGCCTGGATACACACACAAAACACCATCTGTCCCACAAAAGGCAATGGTCCAGACAAAAAAAATAAAAATAAAGCAAACCTCATTTTTTATTGAAGATATTTAAGAAATCCTGGGCTTTCCTCTGGGAGTTTCTCTTGGAAAGGGCAGTGAACATGCACCCAACTGTTGGCTAAGGCACATTCACGCTTGATTAATTTAGAAACAGACGGCCTCACCTTGTCCTGAATTGTAGATGGCCTTCACTGATTTCTTCACCTTCTGCAGGGAGGTTCGATCCTGGTCCAACGCCTGGGAAAAGAGGAGGAGAAGAAAGATGCTCTTAAAACCTTTAAAGTGGTTTCCCTCTTTAAGAACAAACTGTAAACAATCACATCAAAAGACGACAAAGATAGAGATTCAAAGCCCTTTATTTCTTTATATAAATGACGTGGCAAACAAGAGCTAATATTTGCTCAGTGACTCAAAGCATATTCCATAAAGCTAATGTAGACAGAGCGCTCACAATGCAGTGCTTGACCTGAATGTGGCATAAATCATTATTTCAACACTGCTGGCTGCTGGAGAAAACCCTTTGTGCTCCCTAATAGGCAAAAATAAATAGGCAGTGTATCCAATTTTATCCTGCTTAGGCTATTTATTATGACAATTATTCACAATGAAACATTTAAACGCTTGGAAAATAAACACCGCCACTGACCTATTGTTAGAGTGAGTTATCTGTCTCACTTCCTTTGCGCTTTCGGAGATTAATGCTCAGAGTTTAGATGCCAAACCACCTAAATAATGACCAATATAAAACAGAAAAAGACTTCACAGATGCTATAGATCACGGCACTAGTGGTAGTAGCTGCTCATTTCACAACAATGCGTATCTATATTTAGAGAAAGCCATTTAAGACAAAAGCCGTGCAGTTGTGACCCTTGAACTCATTTAGACATCTGCTCCCCCCCCCCAAAAAAAAGCTGCTTTGCACCAGGAGAATTCAACTTAAACATCGTCCGAACAGAAGAGAAACTCAGCTCACCCCTGCCAGAGAACACAACAGCGATGACATCTCAAGTTACACCGCAGTCACGCACACCTCATCATTCACACACACATCGTAGATAGAAGTCACATCACCGGCTGACAATTCAGTCCTCTAATCTCTGAGCTGGTGAATGAAACTGTGTTTTGAAAGTCCGGTGTCTGTGGTTGATTTGTGGCCTGATTAAATCTAAACACAAGTAAAATACATCTGGGACTTTTGCTGATATCCTAAATTAAGTTAAATGTTGCATTTTAACGACCTCTTAACTCAATATTTGATTATATCCTTTTAGATTTTATAGCCCTTTATTTTTTGTAAATCTTTCTTGTTATCATCTTGATTTCACTTTCATCTCAGCGGGTTTTGTTTCTTCTTCTTCTTTCATCTACATTTCCTTTCAAATCTCTCTCTCTCCCTCTTCTGTTTGTCAGTGTCACAGCTTTGCCTCTGTGCACTGTTTTGGACTGTGTTCTTGCAATTTGTGCCATTTTTCTTTTTCTTTTTTTTCTTATTTTTGCCTCTTAGCAAGTACAATTCTCAGTAAATAATGCTCTTGATTCATTTATTACAGTGCATGGGAATAACAACAGAAGAATTTTGCTCTCTGCAGATGTAAACCTTCTCTAAATAGTGGTTTAAAAGCCTCTAGGAGACGGCAGTTTTACACGATGTTAGATTTCTTTTAAGTTAAAGAAAACCTTACAAATTACTCAAAGAATAATTGGTTAAGAAATGTTCTTCTTCTAATGGTTTAGGGTCTTTTTTTTAGTGCTAAAGCAGAAATCAGAATAAAAAAAAAAGATCAATTTTGACCTGCAACACTTGCTGGAAATGATCATGGAGCCGACCAGAAATATGCCCCACAGTGACCCCACACCCAATAAATAGAGTGAATACTAATCAATGAGTTTTTACTCGCATGCATTTCATGCTGCTATCAATACAAACCCCCTTTCAGTTCGACCACCATTACTATCTGTCCAAAATATATTTAATGCAGTGATGAACCCCTACGTTTCCAGCAGTTATTTACCAGTCATATTTCCTTGATTATTATCAGCAACGACAGAGTGATGAAATGAAAGGAGGATGTTTATTTGTTTACGAGAGTTCAGTGCTGCAGGACCTCTGGATCTGCTTCATGCATGGAGAGTGCAGCTACAACAACACTGGAAGTGTTTCTCAGCGCACAGCAACAGCAACAAGCTGAAAATCAGCTGTCATACTGAACTCCATCTGCCTGTGTGACATCTATTATTGTTTCATTTACCGCGGGAGAGGCCGAGACCGTCGGGTGGACTCGATGCGCTCAGGAAAAGCAACACAAGCGCAGACCTGCATCACCTGTCTCGGCGAAATGATTTCAAATCTGAGCCACTGCTGCTGAATTCACATTAAATTTATCGTGACAGCACAAACATTTCATATCCAGCCTGCTTTAACCAGGGGGAATGGAACCATAACTCTGCCGTGTTTGCTCATAATAGATGATAAACACCAGCAAAAACACCATTACATCAAGGTCAGCCGGTTAAGAGCAGAGGCGTACACACACACACACACACACACAACAGTGAGCTAATTAAATTTCACAACATAATTAAGCTGTCCTTGGCCTCCCCTGGACAGTTTTACATGGCTCTTCCCCAATTATGGCAGCAGTAGTTTGTCGCCGCAGGGCCCTTACTGCCAGGCCCGGGCCCTTTGATCCTCCTGCACATGGGAGCAGACTGCTGCCCAGTACCTACCCACACTGCATCACTGCGTAACCCTGTGTCTGTTCACCAAAATAATGGCCCAAAATGAACATTTAATAGTACCATCACCACGGCCAATATTATCTCTGTGTATATACATACATATTATTTTGATAATTACTATAATGAAAATCTTCAAACAGTATGTAAACATACGATATAGGATGAAAAAGCTTCACTCAAAACCTGAGGTTACTTGTAACCCCTGTTCTCTGTTATCATGAGTTGATGTCTCCCTATAGGGAACGCTGCCTCACTGCTATCCTCAGAAGTCTCTGTATTCATTATCATATCATCACTCCGGCGCCGGCAGTCGTCAGCTTTCCTACCAGAGGAGTCGACACAATGCAGTTTCCTCTTCCCGCTTTACTCAAAAAACCTTCTGCCTCTCTCCTGACTGCTAACTCGCGCGCCTCGCAGTAGGGCTGAACAATCAATCGAAATGCTATCGAAATCGCAATATGGGCAAGTGCAAAATCCAAATCGATGCAATTTTTTTGACAAAGGTAAAATGTGTCACAAGGCTGCTTTAAGACTGTAGCTGTCTGAGCTAAAAGCCCGTCTTCACTGGAGGCTCGTCCTGCTCTTCCACCGTGGAGTAGGATTTGCGAGAGCGTGCTGGCTGTCATTTAACATTGGCATTTAACACCGCTGTTAGCCTTTGCTAACAATCGCTAACACAGCTAACAGCCAGGTAGCACGAGCAAACCACCTAAATGAAATAACTTTATCTGTTTTTAACTTAAACAAAATCTCATCTCCTTCTCTGTCCCTCAGTTATTATCACATCTGCAGTGCCACTAGTGTATTTTCCAGCACCACATGTTTGAAGTAAGAATAATATGATGGATTTCTCTTTGGTTTATAATCAGATTTTTCAAAAATGTAGAGTAGGATCACTAAGTTCAAAGAAAATTAATTGCCAACAATTTGATAACACATTAATTGTTTCAGTGCCGTTTTCAATTTTTTGTTTCCAGCCACTTCAATGTGATTTATTTGCTGCTTTTCTGTGTTGTTTTTATAATTGTAAACTGAATATCTTTGGGTTCTGGTGAACCCTGAAGATGTCAAAGACTTCACTGTGGGCTATGGGAAACTATGATGGACGTGTTTCATTACTTCAAAGACTGCAGTAAATGATTATTCAAGAAATTAATCAGCAGACAAATTGATGATGAAAATAACTGTTAGTTGAAAGAGTCGTCTTCTACAAGCTGAAAGAGAATCAATCTTTTTTTTTTTTTCTTCTGAGTGACTCCAAGCTAAATGAATAGACATGTTGTGTTATACCGCAAAAGTCACACATTAGATCCCCTTAACAGCCAGCACATTTACCAACAAGCTGTGTCTTCTCTCAAGTCGCCCCTAACCGCCGCCTTCGTCACTCAGTAGGAGTCAGTCTGCAGTGAAACGCCTCCAAAATAAATCTGTGGTTATTCGAAAGTTACGGTCATGTGTGCTGATTAGGAGATGAAGAGCACGACACACAGGCTGAGCGAGCAGATTGACCTTTACGGCGCTCATGCTGAGAGCAGCTGACGCCGCCACCCCAAGGGTCACCCATAATTCACCCTTTCTGTGCTCTTAATTAAATATTCAGCCGTAACGTCGTACATCTGTACATTACTACACACAAGAGATCTAATTCAGTAGCTGCTTTGGACAAGATTAAAAAAAAAAGAAAGACTGAGCACTTTTATTCAAAGTCGAAACAAATTATTACAGAAGATAAACGATAAATATCTTCTCATTGGCCGGCACTAAGTAACTTGGAGAGGTGGTTTGTTAAAGCTGTTTTCTCTCAGCTTTTCAGGGTGAAAAAAAAAAAAAAAAAATCAATGAAATAGCGCTGTCTTGGCACACAGTCTTTGCAAGCCCTTGGCAACAGGCAAGAATGCATCCAAACTCTGCTTTCCAAAAGGCTGACAACTATTGAATATAGTCAAAGGATTGTTTTTATCTGCCAGCAACCAATTGCGAGCTCCCACTCAACCCAGGGGGATTAGCAAGAGTGACAATGCCAAAACATCTGCGGCCGCTCGTCTCTCCACCCCTACAGCAAGTGATGCATACGGATGATTTATTTAGTGCTGCTGAGAAAATGAAGCAAAGGATGAAGTAGGTTTCGTGGCCGTGTGCTATTCTACTGAGAAATATCTCTCTTGAGGAGCCATTTGTGCCGTGAAAGTCAACATGTCGGTGTCAGAATGCTTTTAAGTCCAAGTCTGTCAGAGATGGAGCCAAAGAGGTCAAGGGTCAAGTTAAGGGAGGTGAAGGGTGATGGTGGTGGCCGTGCATGGCGCCTCAGTATGAGGAGGTTTTGGCAAGAGCGCGAGCACCAAGAGTCAGAAGTGACTTGTCCTTGAAACTTCTCATATTAAAAACGCAAGGAGGCAGAAAACGCATCCCTGGTATTTCATCCTGTTCAGCGGAAATCGTCGGTCGTGGGCCGATATTTGAGAGGTTTAGATGCGGCCGTGTGGACTGATACCAACGG